TAGGACGTACATTTTTAACTGAGCTCGTTCCAACTCGATTTAAAACAAAAGCAGCAGTGTGTTGATTGCTTCCGCCCAAAACATTTTATTCGTTAAACTATTATGAAGATTGTTCTAGCTGATTCAACAAGTGTCCGATTTTCCCTCTCAGCCCTACCATTTTGCTGTGGGGTTTATACACAAGTTTCCTAATGTTTAATGCCTCTTTTTTCTAGTATTCTTCCTAGCTCCTGGTTCACAAATTCAAATCCACCATCAGTGCGTAGTGTCACAATATCCCGGTCAGTCATATTTTTAAACCTTTTCAAGAAATTTAGAATTTTCCCTGTAGTTTCATTTTTTTTATTAATAAGTAAAATTGAGCATTCTATAATTTGTCAACTCATCTTTTAAAAGCAAATAATATCTGGCTCCTCCTAGTGAGTCAGTTTGAAAGCAGCTACACAGATCAGTGTGCACCAACTTACCTATACGACTATTATAGCTCTAGATTCACTGATATCAAAAGATAGTCGGTGTTTTTTTCCTACAAGACATCCACCACAAAACGATTTTGCATTTTCCTCAAAAATAATGTTGGTTTTTAAGATACTCCTAACTTGGTCAAAATGCATTATGTGCCATTTTAGTGTGTCAATGATACTCTCTGATTTTTTAGAATAAGACAAGGGACAAGGTACACTTTCATAATATTTGAAAATTATTCGAAATAACCTGTTCTTTCAGCCATTGCTCTTATCAGTCCATTTTTGTCAATTATCTCAAACATTTTTTTATCTGACTTCAAAAACATTTCCTTGTCCAACACGTTTCCTACTGGAATTGGGGCACAAACAGTACATTATTGAATTCAGTATCCAACCATCTTTGTCCATTCCATGCTTTCAATTTCACTTTTCCAGTTCCGTTTAATTCGATGTAGGATCCATCACCTATTTTCACTTTTTTGGCTATGGTCTCGTCCTCATACGTAAAATCATTTTTGTTAAAACACATAATTATGGTCACTAGCTCCGCTGTCTAGAACCATTTTCACTTAGGTTTGATTCACCAATAAGGGCCACTGCCTCCTCCTCTGTCGTGTCACAAAATATTCATCAGTGCATTTGCCGGTTCTCTATTATTTCTGTCATTGTCGTATCCATTTCCACCAGAATTTCTGCAATTTTCATTTTCAAACCAACAGTTTGGTATAGCATCCCAAGGTTTTTTACAATAGTGGCATGTTGGTCTTACACCGCAATATTTAAACGGAAATTGGTTACCCGTGATATTTGGATGAAAATTAAATATGTTATTGGGAATGTCGAAAGCAACATTTTTTACTATGGGCGCAACCTTGTATATATGACAGGTGAGGCAGTATCAGCTGTCAAATATTGGAATCTAATGGCGTTTCCGATTGGTAGATCTAGTGCAGAACTAGTGCAATTTTTTCTATTCCTGTCTTTTTCTTCTACAGGTCGAATAAAAGGATGCAAATACACTCAGTGCGCACTGAATCTACCAATCGGAAACGCCTAATTTTCAAAAGCAAAATAACTATGGCTGATTTTGATGAAGTAAATATCGTTTTCTCCAGTCGATCAAGGTAAATCAAAAAATGTGCAAAAACCATTTTGACATCTGTCAAAACCACAGATTAACCCGTCCTAAAGATAGGAAACTCAGGCCTTTTTCCCTATCCTTGTCTTACTCATGCAGCAAGTTGTATGACTGCCACAGCACGGTGGCGCTAGTGTGCACTTCGGTGTGTCCAGTATTGTGGCAGTAGTCACGTGGTTCCCGCCTTTTTTTAAATAATTTGTCTAATAAATCTCATTTTACTATTAAACCCTAATTTTTGGAAATAAAACAACAACATTTCAGTACTATCTCCTTCTTTAACAGAACAACCTTTAACACAACAACAGAAAACCGTATTGAAAAAATAACACTAAAAAGTTAAAGGGTCTTGCACACTTTAAGTGAATGTCAATTGCAATGTTAAAAACATATTAAGAAGTCAAAGTTTTACCGAAAATTGATAGAAAATCAAATAAAGAACACTAACACACATCAAACGGCTGACTAATGGCAAATACAATGATAAATTACATTCATTCACAGATGACATTTGCTTGTGGCTTTGCTATACTAGCGCCGCATAGCTTTGGCAGTCATGAAACTCTCATATGTGTTATTTTTAGACAGCTCGGACAGCTCCGAACGAACATTTTACATGGAAGTTTCCTATCTTTAGGACGGGTTAATCTGTGGTCAAAACCCTGCCAAACGGAAGCACTCATATTTTCCAGTTTTCAATATTTCATGATGTGTCATTTGACATCATAAACCGAATTTTCGCGACGAATGTAGTTCATCCAAGGACGAACCATAGTTCGTCGGTGACGTCATGAGTTTGAACGCTGGCTAGAAGCTGCGCCCATGCTTCCGACGAACTACGTTCAATATGACGTCATGAGTTTCTCGCGAAAGTGTTTCTATTCATGGAAGCATGGAAGTGGTTCGTCGCGAAAATTCGGTTTTATGTAAATTCTGAGTTCAAAAATTGAAAAAAAGGAACTACAGAACTGTCAACACCTGTCATTTATTTTAGCAACAAAAAAGATTTTCATCTGGTTCTTTTTTGTTTTAAGATATTTTATTGGTAATAAAACATTAAACAAGGCTCATAGACATCAAATTTTGACAGCTATCAAAATCTGAACCTGCGTATAAAGTTTTTTCAAATAAGCATAACCTAAATAATTGAAACAGAACTAGATTTGAGTCTTTTTTCAATTAAAGCTATTATTAGATTCTGACAGCTGTAAAAATTGGATGTCTATAAGCTTTGTTCAATGTTTTATCAGCAATAAACTATCTTAAAACGAAACAGACCCAGATTAGATTTTTTTTCTACTAAAGCAAATGACAGGTTTTGACAGTTCTTCAATTATTTTTTTTTCAATTTTTGAACTCAGAAATTACGTAAGTTGAAAATGTCAAATGGCACCTCATGGAATATTAAAAACGAAAAAATATGACTGCTGGCGTTTGACAAGATTTTGACAGATGTCAGAATGGTTGACATTTCTCGATTTACCTTGGTCGACTTAGTAGAAATCGATATTTACCTACTTCATCATAATATGTCATAGTTACATACGGATAATTATTCTATATAGTTAAGCCTAGTACTCATAACTGCGAAATTCGCATTTTTTTGACATTACGTTGACAATTTGACGTTTTATGCGTGTATCAAACGTCAAATTGTCGAAGCAATGTCAAAAAAATCAGAATTTCGCAGTTATGAGTACTAGGCTTAACCCTGCTTTTGGATATTAAATTTCGATATTTCACAGCTGATACTGCCTCACCTGTCATATATACAAGGTTGCGCCCATGGTAAAAAATGTTGCCTACGCCATCCCCAATACCATATTTAAATTTCATCCAAATATCACGGGGTCCTTTGTGACATGAAAAGCCTTTAGGTAATTTTCTTTTCTGATCCTCTTGCTATATAGGCATCTACTTGTTCATATTGCTTTATTCGTTCCCCTTCTATCAACAGTCTAAACTAAAAAGTGAACACTTACTGTAGACTGATGCTCATAAATGAAACTCAACTTTTCCCAAATTTCCCTTGCTGAATTACAACTTAACACATGATGCAATGGTTTTTCGTCTAATCTGACTACTAAAACCTCTTGGACCTTTGCGTCTCTCCGATCCCATACTTCAGCATTTGTCTGAGTTTGTAGGATATTCGCCTGTTATCATAAGAATAAAGACTTTTTGCTTTCAAAGCAGTTCGTGCTTGAAACTTCCATGTAGTCCAGTTTTCACCAAATAATTTCACTACTATATTTTCTGCTGTTGAATCCATTTTCAACTAAATAACTTCCCTTGGTGCTCCGTGGTAATTTTTAAACTTTCCTCAAAACCTGGGTCTTGTTATTTTTTTTGTTATTTCTTTTATTTAATCACGTTATTCCTTATTAAACTTATTGCCTGGGCCCATAACCTGTAGCACAATGGATATTGCCAATAAATAATCCAGACAAAACTGCTCCAAACTTGGTTCTATTGAAATAGTAAAAATACATTCTTGGAGGTTGAAAAATGGTCAGGGCCAGTTTCTCAATAGCTCAATAGCAAGTCACCCCCAGGTTAAGCATAGCTCCAGGGTAAACATAGCCACTGGACCCGCTTACCCTGGAGGTAAAAGCAGCCCGGAGGTTTCAATAGTTTGATTTGCCATGTTATGGGCAATGCCCAGCACTGGCTCTGGCCCTGTGAACTTGATTTCGACTTCCTCGCTGGCATGGAGATTCGCCATTTCGTTGCCGTGCGTGACTCGGCAGCGGCATTGTTTTCCTTCTCTAATTCACTGGCGCTTCCTGAAAGCTTCAGGCTGTTCTTGAATTACAGTACCTAGGTGGAGCTAGGCGCCTTCAGAACGGCTTGGCTGTCAGAACATATCTTTATAGTTTTGTGAGTTTGGGGTCGATCCTGCAGAGTCCTAACATCCATTTCAATGGCATGCATTTCCGCTTGAAAAATGGTTGCATTGTTTTCGGCTTTACACCAAACCATCGTTCCCACCCCACATCTTCGATCCATCCGTGAACAGACGTATTATGAATAAAAAAATTAAATCTTGCAGAAGCTCCAAAGGCAGTGATTAAAAATACCACTTCTTACTTGGTTCCCTGTACATTTTGAATAGATATTTTTTCTACAATTATTAAGAAAAGTTAGGGGGAACTTCAAACAATTTTCACCAAAATCAATCAAATATTAAAAAAAAAAAAAAAAAATTCAAAAGAAAATTGGGTTCCAAATAAATTTGGAGACAGTGTAGGTACCTATACCTATATCACGAAAATCCAATGAAATTCTACTTGTAACAGATTATTTTGTAGTGTTCATAGTTTTATGAGAAAGTTATTGCCTAGAGTACAAATCCTTTTCACTTTTCACTAATTGACTTGTTATTTTGATTTCAGTGTAACCACTCATGCCCAAAACTTCACAATCCATTTACTGGAGAAGAAATGGACTTTTTGGAACTCTTAAAATCTTTCGGTTTGGATATGGAAAGTGTTGCCAATGCTTTAGGAGTAGATATGAATACACTTAACAACATGGACCAGGGACATCTACTCAATTTACTCACCCAACAAGCAAATTAAACTGTTTTATTCAAATTTTAGTACGTTAGTGTGTTATAGCCCAGTGACTTTTGCTTTAAGCAATATAAAGGTTTTGTAAGAACCTTTGCGTATTTAAGTTAATAAGCTTAGAAAATATATGATTAAATCAATAGCCATCATCTATTAAATGATGAAAAAGTATTCTTATCTGGATACTTTATTCCTATCAGTATTTATCAGCTAAATGGTCATTTTGTATGTATGTAAAATACTCTGTAAATAGAAATCGTAATAAGTATTCCAATCAATCTCACACGTGAAGTGTTCTAACAGATGTAAAACAAGAAAGTAAATAAATGTACCTCTAAGATTATTATTAGGTAGTCATTGTGTAAATAATATTTAATTTTTTATAGTTGTAGATGATTTAACTGTATATATCAATTGATTATTTATTTGTCTCTATTTTGTACATGTGTTTAAAACATTTTTTTTCAGTTATGTTGCTGAATCGCCCAGTATTTCGATGTCTATTTTCAAGAAATAATATTTAAGTGTTTGTTTGCTCAAATTGAAAAAAGGGCGATTTTTATGTTTATTTGTTTAAGTTTAACCCAAAGACGTTGTTTGCTCTGTTTTTAATGCAATAGGACTGATTTTCGTTCTACCTCATTTGTGAATATTTAGTTTGTAAGTTACATACTATTAAATTTTTAAAAATAAATATAAATACAATTTTAAATCTACCATAACTGCATTTTTTTCTTCTTTAATTCTACCTCAAAGGTCTGACTGAAGAAGAGGAGAAGGGGCTTTTCAAGCCCTCGTAACAGGGACAAAAAATCTTAGTTATACCACTGAATATAATCTCTCATTTATTGCTTAAAACAACATGCAAATTGCACACAATTGTTAATAAAATGGCCTGTATTAAAAACATACATAAATAATAATTTCACTTTTAAATAAGTCTTGTCTGCTTCAAATAATGTATTAGTAACGAATATACAAATCTATATTGAGCAATGGTTTGAATCATTTGTGGCCGCTGTTGTCGAAGAAGAGCCACAACACCGGGTATACAAACTTCCTGCAAAAAAAAAAAAAAAACATTTTATGTAAGCCTCAATATTTTTTTTGGAATTCAAGTCATCCTTACTTGATTGTGATCAACAGTGTACAACAACAAATCGCTAAGAATCGTCAAACCAGTCCTTCCAACTCCAGCAGTACAATGCACCAAAATAGGCGGGTTTTTATTATGTCCCGGTGGAATTTCGCTCATCGAGTGTTGATACACGCCTTGCATTTCTTCTAAAAATCCTAAAAAGTGTGCAACCGAATTGGGGCATCCTTGATCGCCCCACTCTGTATAGTGCAAGTGCCACATTGTACGGTACCGTCTTGAAATCACTTGGCACAGTCTTATTTTACTAGTAATGCAGTAGCCAGTTTTTTGAGAAAATTCCCACCAGACTTGATAGTCCTAAAATTTTTTTTTGTTTATAAGACAATTGGTCAACTATAAATTATTTGAAATTACTTTGCCTATATTTATACATCTTTCATCGGCGTCAGGCAAATAAGTCAAATCTTCTGTGTGATCCGTCAGTTGAACCATTAAATACACTTCAGCCTCCCATACACACTGCCAAAAGTATGGTAAAGTTGCTCTAGTTGGTCCCTGTCCAGCAATGTAAAATCTTTGTTTACTGCCAACAGTTGCCTAAAATAAAAACATATTAGGTAACAATATTGATTGTTCTAATATTAGGTATCTTACCGTTATGTGGGAAGCATTAATATATCCAAATTTGTTTCCTTTTGTCGGGGTAAGTCGTATTCGGTTATCTTCGTAAGGAAGTACATCCTTGAATCGATTAAAGAGAGTATTTTCCGGTAATAAGGAAGTGGTATAATCAGCGTTTTCTTTCTTCTTTGGGATTCTGTCAAACTCGAAGAATAGTTGGCTGTCTGCCAATTTGTTTTCCAGAAGTTGACACTGAAATACGAATGTGGAATAGCTATTTACATACCATGGGAGGAAAAGGTCCTCCAGTCTATTATTATGTATTTTTTTTTACTGCCTTTGTTGTTGACACCTTGATGGGTCACTATCAATTTAATGAAGAAAGAACCACGCTACGATTTTGTTAAAAAATTGTTAATTTATTATTTTAGAGGGACAAACATTTTTGTTCCCAGAAGAAAAAGAAAAAAATTAACTCACAATCACAAATTTTGTTACGTTAAGGCAAGTTACTCTGTAAATGCTATGTATAAAATTAAAATTTCTCTATATCTATAATATTTTTTGTTTAAATCAATACTGCGACTGCGCTACAGAATAGAAATTCTCTAACACCTCTTCAGATTCTACAAAGAACTACTGTCTATAATGGAAGCGGATCGTATCTGGGTCCTTTTTCTTGAAACAGGGGAGCAGCGTTCCTAGAAGAATAAGTGTTGCGTCTTTCTCAATGATATGCGAATAAGTAACAAAGACGGAACATTCGTTCTCCTGGGAACCCTTCTTCCCTGTTTCACGAATAAGGCCTCTGTACTGTACTATCTACTCTCCTCAAAAGAAAGTAAGTAAGTATTTTCAATGTTTTGTGAATAAGAACATCCAAAAATAATACATCCTTAAGAATTGATAATGAGTCTCATCTGTCTCATCTGGTGACATTTCTCTCAAACTGCTAATCACGAATTGTTGAAAAAAATATTCAGATACCAGCAGATATATAACTTTTGCCCATGAAAAACATGGTCTCTATACAGGGTGTCCTTGGATAAATTGACACATTTTGCAGGTAAGTATCTCAAAAACGAGAAAAGATAACGAGATGCGATTTGTTCTGGGAGAATATAGATTTTTAAAGTTTGTTTTTTACAGTATTGCCAAATCCTAAACTTTGCTGAAATTTGGTTTTACAGACATGCGATTTTTTGAATTAAAACTACTACCTTATTTTCAGTAATAATAGTCCAAGGACATTGATAATTGTCCGAAAAAATTTTATAACAGATTTCGAAAGCTTGTTGCTACAAAACAGACCGACGTGTTAGCGGAGGTCTGTTTTCTATAAGCAACAAGCTTGAGAAAGTTGTTATAGAATTTTTCAGCATTTATCAATTCCGAGGGTTATTCGGATAGAAATTTTTTTGACAGCAATGCGCGAGACAATGTCATAGAGTGAAAACAACCCTAGGGATGTTTTCAGTATAATTTTGACATGATTGGGGGATTTTTGTTACATGAAAATAAATAACAAAATTTAACTGGCTATTGACGTGTCTCCTAATACCTGGTGTGCGCGGGCAACTCGTGGGTTGCAGGTAAGCGTCCAATGAAAATCGAGTTTGTTATGGGCTTGCGTGATATTCGTATTCAGGGACGACTCGGGACGAGTTCAGAATTAATCGTTCCTTCTTTCTTTGTAACGTGTAGTTCGACAAAGAGCAAACTAAACCTTTACCTACGTATTACTTGAACTTATCACAGTGTCGTTTAAGGTTATGATAGATTATACTTGACATATTCCTTTGCAATTTCATTGTGTGATGTTGCCGAATGAAACATTTATCAAAATAAAAGTACCATCGATGTTAACATACATTTTAAAGCTCTTCTTTTGTCTGATTTAAAGCCTTGTAAAACACTTGACAATACATCACTTCTTTAATGTTATAATTTTCAATTTGTATTGTCTACATTTGTTTGCAACAATACAATCTGACTACACTGCAGCCACAGGTTGCGCGCGCATGTAATTTTTTATTACTTTCTAACTTGTATTTATTACAATTAAGCTCTCTTTTTATATTTCTGCGAGACACGTCAATTAGAACTGACAAAAAAATTTCAGTAAATTTTGACATGGTTGGGTGATTTCTGTCACATGAAAATAAACAATAAAATTTAACCGGCTGTTAGAACTGCCAAAAACTTTTCATATACAGGGTGTATATTTTAAGTGATACCACTATTGCTATATCCGAAACGGTAAGAGCTACAAGGTCAGTTAAATTAGAAAAAAGTTGCCCTTTTTGATGCCCATTTAAGACTCGTTTACAGTGTTGCCAAATTCTTTTTAGTTCATGAAATACAGGGTGATTTATAAGAATCGCCCAAAACTATTTCATCAATTATTTTGAAAACTATAGATTTTCGAGAAACAATTTAAATTTGAAAGTTTTTAATTTTTTTCCGCTCTACAACATGGTGTCATTAAATTTCAAATCCGATGTTTCGTAATCGAGTTACCATCATCAACTTGACTTTTTTAAATACGAACCTGGATTTTTTATGTCATTTTTAGAAAGTGCCTTTTATTCCCTTTGTAAAAATGACATAAAAAGACCAGGTCCGTATTAAAAAAAATGAAGTTGATGATGGAAGCTTGATCACGAAACGTCGGATTCAAAATTTGAGGATGCCATGTTGTAGAGCGAAAAAAATTATAAAACTTTCAAATTTAAATTGTGTCTCGAATATCACTAGTTTTCGAAATAGTTGATGAAATAGTTTTTGGCGTTTTTAAGAAATCACCATGTATTTCATAAACTAAAAGGGATTTGACAACACTGTAAACAAGTTTTGAATGGGCATCAAAAAAGGCAACTTTTCTCTAATTTAACCGACCTTGTAGCTCTTACCGTTTCAGATATAGTAATAGTGGTATCACTTAAAATATACACCCTGTATAATATCACAAGAGAAAACATTTTGTCGGCAAATTTTTCGAAAGGTATGAAAGTTTGTTGCTTCGCAATTTCGCGAATGACATTTTTGACAAAATCACGAGCCGTCAAGAGAGTGATTTTAACAAAAATGTCATGAGCGAAATTGCCGAAAAGCAATAAACTTGAATAAAACCTTGAGAACAATTATTTTGCCTACACAATTTTTTCTCGAGTGGTATTCGTCATGACTATTTCATGTAAGATTTTGAAAATAAATAGAATGCAAAAGTATGAATAAAAACTTCAAATTAAAAATATCAGTTTGACAATGTCAAAAAATGGCCGCTGAAATACCATGTTGTTGGTATTGTCCAGGTAGCAATATTGTCAGCTGAATACCGAGTTTATTGTCGAATGTAATACCACAAGAGGTTTCAGGATTTCCGGATAATACTTTTACCTGTCACGAAACGCGTTACGCAGCAACACCACGACTCCGAAGGAGTGGTGTTGCTGGTAACACGTTGAGTGTCCGGTAAAAGTATTAGGTAATCCTGAAACATCGAGTGGTATTCAAAAGGTTATACAACGAACTAAACTTTAAAACTTTAAAATTTAAAAAAATTTCTATAATAGAATTTGCTATAAATGCCACCAAGCACGATAATCCCAAAAGGCTTATCAGTTATTAAGCCTCTCGTGTCATATGGGAATAATGTACAGTGAGTTGTATAATCGAATGTAATACCACAAGAGGTTTCAGGATTACCAGATAATACTTTTACCTGTCACGAAACGCGTTACCCAGCAACACCACGACTCCGAAGGAGGAGTGGTATTGCTGGTAACGCGTTGAGTGTCAGGTAAAAGTATTAGGTAATCCTGAAACATCGAGTAGTATTCAAACGGTTATACATCGAACAAAACTTTAATACTTTATTAATTTTTATTATTATTAATAACAAATTGCCAACAAGCGCGATAATCCCAAAAGGCTTATCACTTTTTAAGCCTCTCGTGTCATATGGAAATAATGTAGAGTGAGTTGTATAACCGATGTAATACACTTTAATGAAATAGTCACTCAAATGCAAGAAAATCTTGTAAAATCTCTATTAAATGACCTTTGGAAGCTTCTGAAAAATACTTCAAGCAATCAGAGGGACTTCGACTTCCAGGATTTATTGAGTAGGGTCTTTTTATCAAACGAAACAAAGCGCAAATGGATCTTAGGCTCAGAACTAGAATTATGAATTTTTCTCACTTAGATGTAAAAAAATCTTGTAAAATTGCCATTAAATCACATTTGGAAGCTTCTGAAAAATACTTCGAGCAATCAGAGGGACACCAAACTTCCAGGAATAATTGAGTAAGTACTTTTTATCAAACAAAACAAACCGCGAATGGATCTCAGGCTCAGAACTAAATCTTGTACAATTGCCATTAAATCACCTTTAGAAGCTTCTGAAAAATACTTGAAGCAATCATAGGCCAATCAAGAAGTACATCCGGTCGTTCTGAATTTTTTATAATATGTTGTTAGGACCTAAATTAATATAGAAAAAAAAAACAGATTTGCAATTTCCAAAGTGCTGTGCGAGCGGCGGTGTACCCAAAAAACCATGATATTTTCGGATTTTTTTCAGTTCCTAATCAATATCTCAGTGGTTGAAGGGTCTAGCCGGTATAGTCACTCTACTTCCTAAAGTAGACTAAATTTGCTACAATTTGAGACCAGAGGGCGAGCTCTATACAGCCATAGGTTCCCAAGATACAGTTCGTCGAAAATAGTTATTATAATGGGTATTTATTTTGTGAAATACGCGTCCCACGTCAAATATTATATGAAATGAAGTTGTAGGTAATTTAATTAGCTTTCATTTGAGACCAGACTGGTACCTGTAGGTCCAGCGATTTTCTCAAAAACGGCAGATAACCCAAAACAGTCATAAGTGTGTTTTGGGGGAAATGCAAATAAACTCATCTCAAGTCTTTTTATGGTTTTATATATCATTATTATTATTGTTTGATAAAAAAAAGGTGAAAATGGTATACCTATCGGGAATCACGTCATCATCAAACATTATTTTTATATACCTACAACCTACATATCTACATACTACAATACTTGTACAAACATCATGGTACGGTACCTTCAATAAGGACAAATTGAATTTAGGTACACAAAAAAGGAAACTTGTATAGGTCATTTTATCCAAAAAGTTATACGTTTTTCGAAATGGTCATTCGTTTTGTGAAATATCTTCTAGAATGCGTATTCCCACGTCAAATATTATATCAAATGAAATTGTAGTAAATATAATTAGTTTTCATTTTTGAGACTAGACTGGTACTAGGCCCTCAAAAACGGCAGATAATCAAAAATAGTGATAAGTGGGTTTTGGGGGAAAAGGAAATAAACTTACTGTTCTCACTATGGTTTTATTTATGAAACAGTTGAAATGTATTTATTTTTGTTATTGTTGAAAAAATTGATTGATGAAAAAAGAAAAAGATAATTTACCTACCTATCAGTAATTACGTTATCGTCAAACATTGGTATACAGGGTCCCAACTATTTCATAGGGCAGTATTGCTATCTCGGGAACGGTTAAAGTTACGAGGGCGTTTAAATTAGAAAAAAGTTGCCATTTTTGAAAAATATTGAAAATATATCTTCGATGTTGCCAAATATCAATTAGTTTCGTAAATACAGGGTGATTTTTGACAATTTGCAAAAATAATTTTATCAAATATTTTAAAATTTATTGATTTTGGAGACATACTTAGTTCAAATTCAAAAGTAATATATTTTTAAAATTCTTGAAAAATGGCAACTTTTTTCTAATTTTAACGCCCTCGTAACTTTGACTGTTCCCGAGATAGGAATCAATGCTATCCCTATGAAATAGTTAAGACCCTGAATACATACCTACACTACAATGATGGTACAAACATCATGGTACCAACTATAAGGACAAATTACATTTACACAAAAAAGAAACCTAATATAAATCATGATCAAGCAATCAGAGGGCCTCTAAACTTTTAGGATTTATTGAGTAGGGTCTTTTTATCAAACAAGACAAACCCCGAATAGATGTCAGGCTCTGAACTAGAATTATGAATTTTTTCTCACTTAGATGCAAAAAAATCTTGTAAAATTGCCATTAAATCGCCTTTGGAAGCTTCTGAAAAATACTTGCAAGCAATCAGAGGGACTTCAAACTTCCAGGATTTATTGAGTAGGGTCTTTTTATCAAACGAAGCAAACCGCGGATGGATCTCAGGGTTAAAAATGGAATTATGAATTTTTTCTCACTTAGATGCAAAAAAAGCATGTAAAATTTCAATAAAATCACCTTCGGAAGCTTCTGAAAAATACTTCAAGCAATCAGAGGAACTCCAAACCTTCAGGATTTATTTAATAGGGTATTTTTATCGAATGAAACAAACCGCGAATGAATCTTAGGCTCAGAACTGAAATTATGTTTTTTTTTTCACCTGGATGCAAAACAGTCTTGTAAAATTATTATTATTATATTATTATTGAGTAGGGTCGTTTCATCAAATGAAACAAACCGGAAATGGATTTCAAGCTCAGAACTGGAATTGTGAATTTTTTCTCACAGAATCTTGTAAAATTACTACATATTAAATCACCTTTGGAAGGTTCTGAAAAATACTTCAAGCAATCAGAGGGACTCCAAACTTTTAGGATTTATTGAGTGGGATCTTTTTATCAAACAAGACAAACTACGAATGGATCTCAGGCTCAGCATTGGAATTATGATTTTTTTCTCACTTAGATACAAAAAAATCTTGTAAAATTTCTATTAAATTACGTTTGGAAGCTTCTGAAAAATACTTCAAGCAATCAGAGGGACTCCAAACTTTCAGGATTTATTCAGTAGGGTGTTTTTATCAAACGAAACAAACCGCGAATGCATCTCAGGCTCAGAACTGGAATTACGAATTTTTTCTCAGTTAGATGCAAAACAATCTTATAAAATTTCTATCAAATCACCTTTGGAAGCTTCTGAAAAATACTTCAAGCAATCAGATGGACTCACCTCTGGAAGCTTCTGAAAAATACTTCGAGCAATCAGAGGGACTCCAAACTTTCAGGATTTACTGTGTAGGGTCTTTTCATCAACCGAAAAAAACCGCGGATGGATCTCAGGCTCAAAAATGGAATTATGAATTATTATTCACTTAGATGCAATAAAATCATGAAAGATTTCTAATAAATCACATTTGTTACAAAAAACACAATAATAAGACAAATTGCTCACGAATAAATCAAATTTGATACAAATTTGCTTATTCCTGGTTCCCCTCAAGCTGTTAAAAATACAAGGTTGTCAGATCTATGTCTCATACTACCCATAGTCACTAACCGTTCTCGCATATTCAAAACCACGCAATCGGCGCAATACCCATATATTATAAAGGGCATTTGAAAAAGGGAGTGATATTTAAAAACAGTTTTTCTGTGAAAGCACCGCAAATACTAGGACATTTTCAATCATCATAATAAAAATTATTCTTTGGATACCTACACCTACACCTTTTTGGCATACACTTGTATAGGAATAAGCATGGCGAGGGATAGAAACTTTCCTAGTCACCATGCATAGAAAATTTTACATACCTACTAGTTACTACAAAAATAAATATAATATTATATAATATAATTAAATAAAGTCATTCGGGCATGTGTTTAGGCGTTTTATAGTTCTTACTCTAAGGAAAATGTATAATAGTCTGGCAACATTGTAACCGATTTTACCAGCAACGGACGAATACCATAGACAGCGCCGCACAGGCCCCCACGCGCATGACAACCCGAGCATATTTAAGTTTTATAAGTGTTTTATAATAATGTCTTGTACCCTCGAAATCAAGTATCCTATAAACCATTTTTATAGGATGTTCTTTTAAGCCAATTTAGACTCAAATAAGTTTGCGACTTAATGTTTTTATTAAAGTTAGCTATATGATAAAATAATAAATCTTCAATAAAAATATTTTGTAACTATCTTATACGTTCTTTTCAAAAACTGTCATAAGATAACAATAAAACAAATTACACTTAAAAGTGATTGGTCTTATGAATTGGCATTATAGTATGTTATAAGACCTAAGTTTCTTATATTTTATAAAAGACTATGGAATAATCTTTTAGAAAGCTTTATTACACAATGAAAACACATTTTTGTCTCTGAGATACTTTTGTTTCAACTATATTTATTAGGTGATAAAATTGTATATGGAGGACCTTAATACACCAGTTATATAGCATTTTAATTATTGAGAAACGATCTGTGCTAGTTAAGGTCTTTTTATCAAGCGAAACAAACCGCGCATGGATCTCAGACTCAAAACTGCAATTATGATTTTTTTCTCACTTAGATGCAAAAAAATCTTGTAAAATTACCATTAAATTACCTTTGGAAGTTTCTGAAAAATACTTTAAGTAATCATATGGACTCCAAACTTTCAGGATTTATTGAGTATAGGGTCTTTTTATCAAATGAAACAAACCGCGAATGGATTCCAGGCTCAGAACTGGAATTATGATTTTTTTCTCACTTGGATGCAGAAAAATTTTGTAAAATCGCGATTAAATCACCTTTGGAAGCTTCTGAACAATACTTGAAGCAATCAGAGGGACTCCAAACTTTCAGGATTTATTGAGTAGGGTCTTTTTATCAAACGAAACAAACCGCGGATGGATCTCAGGCTTAAAAATTGAATTAGGAATTGTTTCTCACTTAGATGCAAAAAAATCATGTAAAATTTCAATTAAATCACCTTTGGAAGCTTCTGCAAAATACTTCGAGCAATCAGATGGACTCCAAACTTCCAGGATTTATTGAGTAGGGTCTTTTCATCAAACGAAACAAACCGCGGATGGATCTCAGGCTCAAAAATGGAATTACGAATTTTTTCTCACTAAGATGCAATAAAATCATGTAAAATTTCAATTAAATCACCTTTGAAAGCTTCTAAAAAATACTTCAAGCAATCAGAGGGACTCCAAACTTTCAGGATTTATTGAGTAGGGTCTTTTCATCAAACGGAACAAACCGCGGAGGGATTTCAGGCTCAGAACTGGAATTATGAAGTTTTTCTCATGTGGATGCAAAAAAAATCCTGTAAAATTTCTATCAAATCACCTTTGGAAGCTGCCGAAAAATACTCCAAGCAATCAGAGGGACTCCAAACTTTCAGGATTTATTGAGAAAGGTCTTTTTGTCAAACGAAACAAACAGCGAATGGGTCTCAGGCTCAGAACTGGAATTATGGACTTTTTCACACTTGGATGTATAAATTTTTGTAAAGTAGAAAATTATAGGCTTTCTGACGATGACAAAATATAAAGGGTCTTTCTTTAAAAATAAGGCAGTAGGTATTTTTATTTCAAAAAATCGTATGTCTGTAAAACCAAATTTCATCAAATTTTAGCATTCGGCAATACTGTGGAAAAAAACTTCAAAAAATCCTCTTTCTCGTTTTAGAGATAATGGGTCTTCCAAAAAAAAAAAAACAATCAAAGAGTGCTTTGATTACGAATCCGTATGTCGTTTTATTTGTTTCTTTATTGGTCAAGATTTTTGACATTAAAATTCATTGAAAAAATTAAAGAAAAATATCGCTAAGACATACATTTAAAGCACCATTGCAATCTTTGATTGGTATTTTTCCAAAATGAGTCAGTTTATCTGAGGACACCCTGTGTTGTGAGCTCAATGACCAATTGCCAAAGCAAGCTTTATGTAAAAAAACATATCTATTGTATTAGATAAGAAACTTCTACTGGAAAAATAATAATAATTTTTGATTCTTACCATCGCTTCTTTTGTTATAGACGGCGGAAGTGGATTGAACTTGGGCTGCCCCGTAGACCACCGGTACTTTCCTTGACCTTTATCTTCTTTCTTTTTATCAATCTTCAATGTAGCACTTTTAACTTTTTCATCCGATTTATTTTTGCCTATCAACAAACCCCACCGTTTTTTCTTTGTCTTACTAATAGTTGTGGTATTTAAAGTGTTGTCTGCATTATTGTCACTCATATTACTTAAAGAAGTTGCTATACTTTCACCGGTTACAGTCAAATTACTTGTACGCACAGATTCTTTGGTCAAACCAATTGGACCACTTAAAGTTCTATAACTTTCACTATTATATCCTTTGGACGTACCAGAATTTAAATCTTGGATATCATTTAAATTATTTGCTTTTGAAGGCTTGAGTCCAACATTTGCATACATATTTTCTCTACTATTGTCCAGAGTAGTGGTTTCTAGTTGTGTTTGCAAAGCACTTACCAGAGAATGATTAACTACTTGGCTGATTTCAGGAGCTGAATGTATACTTTGCGCTCGGCTTCTTATTTCATTTTCGTGCTGCCAAGGCCTAGGGATATTTTCATAAATTGGCTCAGAAGAACCTGTCAATTGAGAATCATGGGCTAATAGGGCATTTTGATTTCTAGTCACAACAAATCCTCTATTCGGCAGTTTATTGTTTTGTAAAATTTGCTTCATGTTTGCTGGCATGCAATAAATTATATTACCATGTTCATCATAGACTTTCTTGATGTGTTTCGTTACGTTGGGGTTTTCAACAATGACAGCTTGTTGGGGTCTGCCTAACATGTTATTATTGAACACATGATGAGGTACATTTCCATAAGTGCTGTTTTGTTGGTGAGACTGTGGTAAATAGCTTTGAGATCTATGAATACTATTCGGATTTTGATAAAGCTCGTTATATTGCTTCAAGTGTCTATTATCAATAGAAACCAAATCAGGACTAGATCCGCTGATAAGATTATTAACAAATAAATGTGGAAGTTTGGCTTGTTGATGTGAGATTCCAGCCAAATCAGGTGTCGAATTTGATCCAATTCTTGCAGGGTATGGCGGAGGTTGTTTATACAAATGAACTATACCAACATTATCAAAATTCACTTGCCTATTTTCATTAACCAAAAATGGAGATTCAATAAATCCTTGGTTATATAGGGAATTTTTTTGTTCAAAAGTATTATGAGTTATATCAGGATATCTAAACTGCGGCGCATAAGCCTCACTTCGATGTATTTCAGGCTGGGAACTATATAAAACACCATGAGTGTTTCTTATTTGTTCGGATGGGATCAAAGCACTTGAGGAATTCCTGTATTTTTGTTGCATGGCTGTTTCATAGTCTGGAGCTGGACGGTAAGAAGGTAATAAGCTACGTAGATTGTCAATGTCGGTTGATGTATGTAAATCCAGGCACGAAGTTGACTGCACTCGTTGGGGGATATTTTGAGATGAAGATACAGGCATGTCCCCCCAATGGGATGGATTGATGATATCCTCGCAGCTGTCTCGTTCAAGTGCATCCTAAAAGAAATATGAATAGAAACTACTTATACATGTATTCGATTAACTACTTATACATAATTTGTTATAAATTGAATTTTCAATAAACATTAGCACATTATAAATCCTTGTTAAGACAGGCTGGAGAGAGAGGTTCAGGAACGTGTCCTATTAGCAATTGTAGCAAGCCTAGCGCACAAAAACAAATGGCTACAATAAAATGGACATACTTTTTTATTGGCAATCCGGTGCAGAATATAGATAATGTTCCATATACCACAATATTCAATTCAGAAAAGCCCAATAATGGGTTATAGAATGCAAGAAACAAAACAGCTAGGAGACAATGAAACCTTGAAATGAGTATCTTTGGAGTAATCTATAGGTTGGTAAATGCAAATCAGGTATATGGAATTAAAGATCTGGTGAGTGGAGATATTCTAATAGCAGTTTAAAATGAAGTTTTTAAAACATGAAGTAAAATACTAAAATATTTGAAATAATGGCACATCAACTGGGTAAGAAAAAGAAAAACATTTCAGTCCATATAAAAAACCAAAATGTTGAAAATTATTCTAGAGTTTTGTTAGCACTTTTGCTTGGAATACTATTTATTTCTAGTTTGTGTTCAAGCAACAAGTATCATGCTAGGCTCAATCGCTCACCTCTTGTTTAAATCCAGGTGGTTCAGGAATGTCTCGATTCGGATGCTCCGTCTCATTATTGAGTTCGTATTGTCTAAAAAATATATGCTGCAAGACACAAAATCTCCACGCATTTTTGGCACTATCCACATCACTAAACAGAAACTCTGCTTTTTCTATTCCACCCACTGATTCAACGATAAATTCCTTTTTATGGTTTATAACATTACTTATATCTGACCAACTAAAATATAAATATTCATAGTCTAAATACAAAATATTCAATTACAATTATTTACCTGAAATATTTTGAATGTCTCTCAGTGAAAGCAACTGATACTCCTCTTAAACCTATACCAATTATCACAATATTTCCTTCCTTATCTTTAACATGAAATTCCTCCTCCCCGTAACCCTCTAATCTTTGACAGGCACAAATATAATACTCTTCAGCTGTACTCTGGGGTAGATTATGCAATGCAGCATGTTGTCTGCTGGCAGCTTCTGTTAATGTTTCTAACAGAACTGGATCTGTGAAAGTCTTAGGAAAAAGTTGAAAATCCTTTAGATAAAGCGCTGTATGTCTTTCGGAATCAAAATTTCCGAATTCAGCTTGCATGCAGTAACTGGCTAGCTCAGTGGCTTGTGGAGGGGTGCATGATACTCTTCCTTCCATTACATCTTGTTTCAATTGCAGAAAATAGTGATACCTGAAATAAATGTTTGGAACTACAGTGCCGTATTTAGAGCTCCTCCCTAATCTACTATTATCTAATAAATTTTGCCTTAAGCATTCAACAATTTTTTTAGTGTAGGCTTTTAATGTCCATCCATGATATTAAAAACTGATTCTAATAGTGAATAGCTCTTTACAGGTGAAAATCTCAGACAACTCGAGCCTAATTAAGTATAGGTTAAGATCGAATTGAAATTAACAAAGTTTATTTGCAAAAGCATCCAAACTCACATACAAAAATAGGACGTCAATTCTACTAACATCACAAGTTAAAATATAAAAAGTAGAAAAACAAAATTGCACATGAAGATAAAAACTACTAAAAAAAAACTCAATTATAATAAGCATAAATTGTCCAAAGATACAACAGTGTAAAAATTAAAAGAATAAAAACATTTAAGTATTCCTAGCAAACTGTAAGACCACCGTTTTGAATTTCCTAATTTCCTCCATATTCCTGATATCAGCAGCCAGGAGTCTGTAGGCTTCGATGCCTTGATAATAAAGGCCTCTTTCGAAAAAAATGTGGAGCGATGTGTGGGAATGCGGAGTTCATCCCTACCTCTGGTAATTATACCAATATTATGGGCCTAGCCATCTTAGTTGGTTACGAAAAGGTGTTGATTTTTTTTGACAAAAGTGACCTGTGCGACAAAATACATTCCAGGCGCAGTAAGTATATTCAAGCCCTCAAAGAAAGGTCCACAAGAAGTTCAGGGATGAATATAAATAAATAAATAAATAAATAAATAAATAAATAAATAAATAAATAAATAAGAGAATTTTAAAGATTTCAAAGATTATCAGTTATTAATAGTAACTATCGAATTTATTATATGACTGATTGAGTCTGCGTTTAAGTCGTTCAAATGTGAAACAGAATACAGAATTAAATACATTGCTCATGAAGTATATAGGACTCTGTCTCATACCATTAGATCTTGCTGCGCTGAGGTAGAAAGCTGTGGTATGTCTTAAGCCAGACCTAGGAACTCGAAATTGCAGACATTCCAAAAGAGACGGGCAGTCAATGTGATTATGAACTAAGTTGTACAAAAATTTAGCAGATTGAACCTTTCTTCTGGCAGCTAAGGATGTTTCATCAAACCTTTGTAAGAGCCATGATCGCAGCCTACAATAGGGTACCCTCCGTCGCATCTAAAAGCAGCTAAACACTTCAGAAACCGTCTTTGAACTGATTTAATTGCAGTTATATGGCAATTATATACGAGGTTCCAAATTAATAAACCGTAGTCTAGCTTAGATCGGACAAAAGTGTGATAAAGTAGTTTTATAGTAGTAAGGTCTCTGAAATATTTACTGTTTCTTATTACAAAGCCAAGAATTCTAGAACATGCTGAAACTAATTGATTGACATGGGGTATAAAAGTAAGTTTCGAATCAAATAAGATTCCATTGTCCTTGATGTTCTCTGATCTGCTCAGCACAGCACCGTCCAATGTATAGGCATATACAATGGGATTAATTTTACGAGAAAAAGTTATAACATTACACTTAGACACATTAAGGGTTAATCTATTCTCCATGCACCAATCGTGGAATGGTGAAGTCTGAGGAAAAAATAAAAAAATATGAAATTTTCAATATTTTTTCATACAAAGGATGATTTTCCTAAGTTTGACGGCTGGCAAGGAATTTTCCTTTTGAGGGATGATAAAGCATCCCTCGAACAAACATCCTTCTAAATTTGAACGTGAAACACCATCTAGCTGTCTGAGGAAAAAATTTAAAAATATGAAATTTTCAATATTTTTTCGTACAAGGGATGATTTTCCTAAGTTTGACGGCTGGCAAGGAATTTTCCTTTTGAGGGATGATAAAGCATCCCTCGAACAAGCATCCTTCTAAATTTGAACATGAAACACCATCTAGGTGTCTGAGGAAAAAAAAAAAAATATGAAATTTTCAATATTTTTTCATAAAAGGGATGATTTTCCTAAGTTTGACGGCTGCCAAGGAATTTTCCTTTTGAAGGATGATAAAGCATCCCTCGAACAAGCATCTTTCTAAATTTGAACATGAAACACCATCTAGGTGTCTGAGGAAGAAAAAAAAAATATGAAATTTTCAATATTTTTTCATACAAGGGATGATTTTCCTAAGTTTGACGGCTGGCAAGGAATTTTCCTTTTGAAGGATGATAAAGCATCCCTCGAACAAGCATCCTTCTAAATTTGAACGTGAAACACCATCTAGCTGTCTGAGGAAAAAATTTAAAAAATATGAAATTTTCAATATTTTTTTATACAAGGGATGATTTTCCTAAGTTTGACGGCTGGCAAGGAATTTTCCTTTTGAGGGATGATAAAGCATCCCTCGAACAAGCATCCTTCTAAATTTGAACGTGAAACACCATCTAGGTGTCTGAAGAAAAAATAAAAAAATATTAAATTTTCAGTATTTTTCACACAAGCGACGATTTTTCTAAGTTCGACGGCTGGCAAGGAATTTTCCTTTTGAAGGATGATAAAGCATCCCTCGAACAAGCATCCTTCTAAATTTGAACGTGAAACACCATCTAGATGTCTGAGGAAAAAATTAAAAATAATGAAATTTTCAATATTTTTACATACAAGGGATGATTTTCCTAAGTTTGACGGAAGGCAAGGAATTTTCCTTCTGAAGGATGATAAAGCATCCCTCGAACAAGCATTCTTCTAAATTTGAACGTGAAACACCATCTAGGTGTCTGAAGAAAAAATAAGAAAATATTAAATTTTCAGTATTTTTCACACAAGCGACGATTTTTCTAAGGCTTCCTTTTGAGGGTTGATAAAGCATCCCTTAAACAAGCATCCTTCCAAATTTGAAAGTGAAATACCATCTAGGTTTCTGAAGAAAAAATAAGAAAATATGAAATATTCAATATTTTTTCACACAGGTGATGATTTTTCGAAGTTTGACGGCTGGCAAGGAATTTTCCTTTTGAGGGATGATGAGGCATCCCTTGAACAAGCATCCATCCAAATATGGACGGGAAATGCCATCTTACGTGAATGAAAGAAAAAAAAAATGCGGCGTGCTAGAATAGCATGCCAACTTCACACTTTGGCATGTCTGAGCGGCGTGCTAACTTACCTTTTTGGCGTGCTCAAGCGGCATGCTAACTTTTTGTATTTTGGCGTGCTCTAATGGTGTGCTTACTTTACTTTTTGGCGTGCTTGAGCGGCGTGTTAACTTCACACCGGTCACCAAATTAAAGTTTTCAGAACATATATTACAATTGAATAAAAAACTTTCATCTGCATGTTATGCAGTGAGAATTGTGTCAAACAACTTGGGTCATTCCATGGCAAAGAATGTGTACTGCTCCTTGATAGAGTCTACCATCAGGTAAGGTATTCCCTTTTGGGGCTTTAGTGCTTGGTGTCCACTCTGTTTTTGTATCACAAAAACGTTCTCTAAGATACTTGTGTGGAGCGAAATCTCAAGAGCATTGCAGACCTCTTTTTATAAGGGAAAAATTACTGACTTTCTTCTGCATTTTCATATTGGAGACGGTGACAATGATACACAAAAGGCATAGAATTTCACCTCATTTGTGTAATCAATATGGTCGAAACGAAGGATCTTTAAAATTACCAATACCAAAAAGTACTCTCACTAAACATCTGTGATATAAGAGAGCCTTAAGATTTACAACCACCTACCATTGTCATATAGGAGTATAGAGATTATAGAGAATACTGAGAAATTCAGGCAGAATAACAACCAGTTTTGGTTCTGGTGAAGGTGAACGCAGCCAGTTGAAGTGGTTTTTATTTTTTGCCAAAATCGAAAAATTACTTTTTCCAAAAAAATCGAAACGGAAAAAGAAAGCAAAATCCTACAAATTTTATGTAAAAGGTAGTCAAATTGCCCAACTTTTTCCTAATCTAACCAACATTGTAACTCCAACCTTTCCCAGGGTCCTAATGCTATCCCATCTAGTATCCCATCCTTATCCTGGACACACAGTATATAATACTTTTTTGCTCGATTTTTTCTATTACTTATTAAATTTTCAAGATGTTTCACTCAAATTTTCATAGAATATTTGGAGAGGAATCAAAAAGGTGTCGAATGAGCCTTGACTTACCCCATTGCTGGCAACAAGGTGCTCAGATGACAGATATAAGTAATTCAACTTTATTCTATGTTCAACTTTCAAACCACTTGTTTATAATATTTTAGTCAACATCAAAATATAGTATATTAAAGTATAAGTGGATATTAAGGTCTTTAAAACACGCGCGATTTTTCGAAATAGAGCAAGTGTTTTAAAGACCAGTTATCCACGAATACTTTACACTATTTTTTTTTATTGGTATACGTTCAAATCATAAATTACTAATAATTGTAGAATGCTAAATTCGTGCTTAACACTTGTTATATTTTATTTGACGTTATCTACAAGTACCTAACCTACTACTGACAAATCAATAATTAAAAAGTTCACATTCAGACTTGTTTGGGTTGTTGATGTTGTTATGATAACTTTAAAACACGTGCGTTTTTGAATGTTGGATTTAAACACGCTGAGGAGTACTTTAAATAAGTAAAACAGGTTATCAATTAAAAAAATAGTTATTTATGTACCAAGGCTTGTTAAGTGTTACTTTTTTGGCCGAGGATGCAGTTTGCAAGCCGAGGCCCGTAGGGCCGAGGTTTACAAGCATTTGAGGCCAAAAAAGTACACGCTACAAGTCGAGGTGCATATGATATTTTTTGTGCTACCGTACATTATAGATAATAAATATCATGAATTTGATGGTGCACCTATTTGCTTTGTTCGCGAAGAAGATCCCAAACTGATCCTGAATGCTAATATAAGGAAAGAATCACATCGTGAAAAGCCATTGATATGAAACAATATTAATGGCTTTTTATGGTGTGATTCTTACTTTAGCGTTCAGGGTTAGTTTGGGATCGTCTTCGCAAATAAAGCTATTATTTTAACTGGTGTCCAGTTTGTTGTATTATTGTTTAAATTGACCTACTAATTCCATGCACCCTATGCTAGCAACCATTACAATCAAAATTGTGAACAAATTTGGCGTTGTCAACGTATTCGTTAAATTGTCTTTTTTTTTTTAATTGCCAGGCAACGAAATTCTTATTGAAATGTCAAGTTTATTTTGACAAAAAAAAAGTTCAAGTCATAGTCAAGTGTAATTATTATTAGTGAAAAAATGTGCGAGAAAGTAGAAACCGGCGTAGAAGAAGCAGCAGCGAATGCTTGTGCTTTATTGCTGCCCGAAAAATCGAAAGAGAGGTACACATTTATATATTCCAAGTTTAAAGAGTGGCAAGCGGTGAAGCATTTGAATATTGTTGATGAAAATGCAATTTGGCATATTTCTTTGAGCGTTCCCAACATTTGAAGAGTCCAGCAAGTTTGTGGAGTGAATACTCTATGCTCAAGACAACATTATCCATTAATGACAGTATAGATATTTCTAAATTTCCAAAATTGAGAGCTTTTTTGAAAAGGAGAAACGATGGTTATAATCCCAAAAAATCAAATGTGTTTTCAAGGCAGACAGTCAATATTTGTTGATGAAGGTATGAATATGTATCAAACGAAATTGACAAAAACAAGATTGCAGTATTGGTGTTCATTGATCTTCAGAAGGCCTTTGATACAGTCAATATCGACATCCTCCTCAATAAATTGTATAATATGGGATGCAGAGGAATTACCTACAAACTGTTGGAAACATATTCAAAGAACAGAGAACAATACACAGTTGTAAATGATGTATCTAGTAGTAAGGCGGGTGTACAAGTTGGAGTAGCTCAGGGATCAGTTTTGGGACCCTTACAATACTTACTTTATGTTCATAGTATGAAATTTATCGGACTTCAAGCAAAGTATTTCATGTTTGCTGACGATACAGTTTTAGTATATACGAGTGAAGATGGTCAAATGGTTGAAGACATTGTAAATAAGGATCTTAAAATGTACTATGATTGGCTATGCTATAACAAATTAAGCATAAACATTGAAAAGACCGTGTACTTGACAGTCACCCAAAAAGGAAAAAAGACTAATCAACATCATATTAAAATAAATGATACTACTTTAAAAAAAGTGAATGAATATAAATATTTGGGTTTTCTAATTACAAGTAAGCTGTCATGGGAGACTCACATTGAAAGTGTGATTCAAAAAGTAGTACCGTTCATAGGGGCAGTGAAAAGGTGTGCGCATCAACTAAATAAAAACACAAGGTATTTACTATACAACAGTTTTATTGAACCACATCTCAGGTACTTAGTTCCGTGTTGGGGAAATGCCAGTGAATACCTATTGGATAAATTACAAAGAACACAAAACAAAGCCATAAAAGCAATATTTTCATTAGTGTGGTCAACCCCCAGTGAACACTTACATCAGCAATTTCCATTTTTGAATATCAGACAATTGAAAGGCCTAGAACAAAGCAAGCTAATACACTGTATGAAAAAAAGTTTGATCAAAACAAATGTAACTCTGAAGGAAACAAATGCATACCATACGTATAACACAAGGACAAATACAGACATTAGGAATAACCATGTTAGGACAAAAAAGGGACAGAACTCTCCAGTTTACCGAAGTGTACAGACATTCAACAAAATACCCAAAGTAAATTTTATAGGAAGTCAATTGAAAGTGAGCCGTAACCTGAAAAAGTATATTAAAGATAGTTTTTGAAGGAATATATTCCTGTAATTTATTATTATCTACTTAATATGTAGTAATATGTACTTATAATAACTGTTAGTTTTTGAAGGCCTTGGTGCCAGTATGTATTGTACTGTTTTAAGGTCTGAAATAAATAAATTGAAAGAAAAAAAATATGGCTTTAGAACTATTCCATAAAACAGTGGTCTTTATTTTGTAGGTAGTTGCACTCATTGGCGTTGCTGGAGCATGCCGTAAAGACGAATTGCTCAAGATGACATTAAGTGACATTGAAGATAAGAGGAATGTGATAATAATAAAAAGTCCAGATAGCAAGCATAAAACCAGACGTTCGTTTACAATTATCAATGATACTGAAAATAATATTGATTGCCTTGGTATATTCAGAAAATATGTTAACTTAAGGCCCAAGAACACTGATCATAGACGACTCTTTTTGAGGTATGAGGTAGGGAAATGTGTCAATCAAGTTGCTGGTAAAAATACCCTTGGAAAAGTACCTTATAATATTGCCAAGTACTTGAATTTGGACAATCCTGAGTCTTACACGGAACACTCATTTCGAAGAACTTCGGCAACACTTTTGGCAGATACGGGTGCGGATGTTCTCGCTTTAAAAAGGCACGGAGGGTGGCGATCTTCCACAGTCGCGGAAAGTTATGTGGCCGACTCAAGTGCAAATAAAGTAGATACGGCCAGAAGAATTCTAGGTAGCAGCGAGAATACAAGATTTGAATCCGCAACTCCCAGCACAAGTTCCTCTATGATAGTCGAGGATTCCTTTAGTAGTAAGGATCCTAATATTTTAAGTTCTTCGACTTCAATACAGGAAAGTATGCCTATGTTAAATGTAACTAATTGTACAAATGTTTCTTTTACAAAATTAAAAAGTAAATAACCATGAAGTATCGCATTTTTATATTACTAGTTAGGTACCTATCTGTTTATGCTAATTTCAACTTTTGGACATCTAATGGTCATTTGCACTGACCATTTTAAGGAACCCTTAGCGATAAGTAGGTATCTTTTAAAATGACAGTTTTAGATGGAAAAATGTCACTTTAAGGAATACTTATCGCTTAGGCTACCTTAAAATAGTGGGTCCAAATGGCCATAGGTATTTTCTATTTGTTTCAATAAAATAGTATCCTTAATTTGTTAATTTTGGGTTTTTTATTTAAGAGGTCGAGTGTTTTTGTCACATTATTTTGACAGAGATATGAAAGCAATTTTCACCTTTCATATCAATACTTTTTTGCCCGGGTCAAAAAAGTAACTTTTTTGGCCCGGTCAAAAAAGTAACTTTTTTGACCCGGACTGTAAGTGACACTTACAGTTCATGGACGTAAGTCAAAAAAGTCAACTTACAGAATGGGTAGCACAAAAACAATATTTAATAATAACTAATCTTACCTAGTTACTTCATCTGTTATAAGCCTCACGCCAGAAATAACATAATACATAACACGCAAATATACAGACAAGCCCCTTGCATATTTATCCAGCTGCCTTTTCATGGGTTTGTCCAGTTCCAACCAGCAAACATTGTTTTCGCTATTACAACTGATGTACTGCAAACCTAGGAATTTTGGTTGATTCAGCCCCAATTTTTGGCAGACCACGTCCAGGCAATCTTGTCCAGTGCTTTCTGATGAAAGGGTACATTCTACGTTGGTACCATCTAAAATTTCTACTGATATGACGAATAAGCTCTTAGATACGACACTATAATGTCGAGACTTTTTAAGTTTCAATTTGAAAGGCATATTTTCTAGTTTTAATTTTTGAAAAAAATTTGTAGTTTGTAGGCACTGGAATACTTTAAATAGGTTGGTTTCTTAAATAATATTAATCACAGACTGTTCACCCTCAATCAAAGGCAATTTCATTTGTATCTTCAGGATGCAAAAGGCACAATATTAATAGTTTAGGGCATACTTAAAATTTAAATGGCATTGTTGATGTTGTACATACTGCAAGCCAAGCTTTCTTTAACGATATTTTGGATAGTAAACAACTATTTAATATTTTTGTGGGACGATATGCAGACTGCCCACTATAGAGTTACATGAAAAGAGAATGAGAATAGCATTTTCTAAAAATAAAAAAACACATCTAAAAATATTTGTACACCAAAATAAACATAACCATTCTTATTCTTATTTCTTTCTTTTCTCATCTTTTTTCTTTGTTTATAGGTGTGGTTCTCGTTCTCGCAAACTGTCAACTGTCGTCCTGGACCTCACTACTAGCTGGGTTCGGCTATTAGCGGAGTTGGAGTGGAGTGAACAGAGCTAATGGAGTCACCCCTAATACGGTAAAAAGCAATACCCGAACGGCTAGAGTGCGAATGGAGTCACTCAGAGTGCACGGAGTGAGCAAGCCGAACCTACGCCGAACCCACCTCTTGTAGCGTTTCTAGTTGGTAGAATTAGTACAAAGAAAATTTATTTATATCTGTTTCTCCAACTTGCTGAGAAAAAGGGGTGATGAAAATACACTCCGCGCATAACTACCAATAGGAAACGCCATTTTGAATTTGTGGCAGGGTATCAGCGCTATGCTAACTCCAAGTACTCCGTTCGTACGCATCCGATCGTTCGGAGTGGTTCGGGTATGATTTTTCGGAGTAAATAGAGTTAACTTAAAGTTCGGCTGTGCCGAGTTAATGGAGCTCACTTCGAGAATTCCACCATTCCAGTTCCACCTTTTCGAAATGGAGGTTTTTATTCCGTGTGTTCAATATTTTGATCTGAGTTTTCCGAGCTTGAATTTACCGTTCGTTTATTTAAAAAGTGTACTCGGTGCAGGCTCATTGGCGTTCGTTGATTTAAAATTTCGGATACAGCGTTCAACTGCTCTGTTCGCGCGCTGGTCACGTGATTACGGCTCCGCTCAGCAAGCTCTGCTATTTGAGCAAAATACCGAACTCAAGGATAGACGTCTACGCACGACAAGGATAATACATACTACTACAGGATTGCTTATCAGCCTCGTTCTTGGTAATCGCGGTCATATAGTGTAGCACCATTAACGACGTCAATAACTAAGTCGTCAGCTGTTTGCGCTAGCGGTCGTAGTTTAGAATTTAAATTTATGATGAAAAATATTTAATTTTGATTAACATAATATGCAAAGGGGAAAATGCAAACGGGATCTAAAAAAAAGTTGTTTTAGAATGTTAATTAATGTAGTAGAACCAAGTATGAGGCTGTGCAAGTATGCATAAGGGTGGATTTTCATGCATCCGTTTGTCCGACGAAATATGTCCGAAAAACATTCTATTCTGACATAATCGTATAAAAATATGTCAAAATAGAAGATTTTTCGGACATATTTTGTCGGACAAACGGATGCATGAAAATCCTCCCTAAAGCAGAAGCCTGTGGGACGCGGAATCATAACCTGTAGTGCAAACAACGACGTCAAATGGACGCTTCATAGACGTCTTAATACAGGGCATTTTTTCTGAATGGGTCATATTAGGTTTTACATGGTAACTTTTGAACCTGTTGGTTCATGTTATGGCCAAATAAACGTCCACTACGTGACGTCCCAAACAAGTCATATTTTGCAACCTCTTTCCGACGTCGAATTTTTGTTAATTGACGTAAATCTATTTAAAATCGACGTCATAACGACTAACCCTTGCTGCTTGGGATGTTTGTTGGAATAGGAAAAAAGACCTGCTGGAAAAGAGGCTTGATTGTTGTATTGCGTGGCCCTGCCTTGGAGACCTATTATACGAGTATCAGGAAATTGCGCTTGGTCAATGCGCTCAACCCTTTCCGTCTGCTTTAATTCTCGAAATCTCGGGTTCTGAGGCGATCCTCAGTTTCATTTTTGCGTTTTAAATGGTTTTAAAGGTGTCTGTATAGTTATTTTTTCATTTAGCACAGTTTTCTTGTTATACCTACCTACCTACCCCACGGTTAGGCCAATAAACTGCAAAACCTAAAATTCAAAAAACCTAACTTTCCGTTTTTCGAGTTTTGATTGACAAATAGGTGCGCAATTAAATAGCCTACATTTGGAAAAAAACGAATCCAAGATTGGTCCATCCGATCTGAAGATAATTAAATTCAAGGATTGACATTCCATACAGGAATCGACCACGATCAATATGTACCATCGTCACCAAAAGCACAGTTTATACCGTACCGATACAGTTGTTCAACTCCGTTGATTTTTTTGAAGCCAAATTCTATGTCCCTATATTTCGCGCTTGCGCATTATTGATCGGAAACAACGAATCCTGGGCCGTGGACAGAGTCGGACTAGGATTTTTTGTGGATTAACATTGAGAATATAACGGGATCATATAATAATAGACAAAGATTATGTGAATGTATAGAGTAAACCTAATATGAAATATGTAAATATAAATACTTACAGTCGAACAGTCGTTCATCGTTCGGGAAACTAAAATATCCTAAGCCTGGGCTAATTCTAGTGTTATTTTTACAGACGAAACAGGAAGCAACCATGATAATACACAATATATAAACGATAAAACAGTCAAGTACACAAAAATCGCCAATAACACAGAAAGCAAAACACTCTTAAGCCGAATTTCAAATTGATGAATTTTCTGGTTACTTTTCAATTTCCTGAATAATTTCAGTCAAAAAACTTCTCTTCTTTTTTTGTAATACAATCCTGTTGGGTGTCTCGGTTGACAGTTATTTCTCGCGGGGTCTCACCCAAGCTATCTCTATCTCTTTTTTGCGTGCAGGATTCGAAAGAGACATGTATATGCCGAACTGCTTTTTCAATTTGAGAGATTTGTTCACTCATTGAGCGCATGCGCAAGATATGGGTCAAAATGCTCCTATTGGTTGGAGAATTTGGCCTCAAAAAATATGGAGAGTTGTACAACTGTATTGGTACGGTATAAACCATAGGTATAAACTGTGCCAAAAGTAACTGTGACAGCATCACATTAGCTCTTGTCCTATTATATGAATTTTATTGTCAAATATTTGTCAAACTATGAATTAAATGCATTGAAATAATGAATGACAGTAGAATTAGTCCAGGAGATTATTATGCATTATTTGTGTCCCAGATACTTTTGGTGACGATGGTACATACGGCTGCAAATGTTATTTCCGCCATTCTTTAACCGTTTTAAAAATGCCAGATTCATTCAAAAAGTCGTGATTTTTGTTAATGTTCGATTGTAGTCTCTACACGGTTATTTGTGCCGCTTTGAAAATAGCTACACATGTTAGCTACCACCCCTAGCAATCAATAAAAATTAGTTTTGTGTAATTTCCCGCCGGCTGAGTGTCTCAAAAAAATTAAAAACCCTAAAAAAGTCGTGATTTTTGTTAATTTTCGATTGTAGTCTCTACACTGTTGTTTGTGCCGCTTTGAAAATAGCTACACATGTTAGCTACCACCCCTAGCAATCAAGAAAAATTAGTTTTGTGTAATGCCCTGCCATCTGAGTGTCTCAAAAAAATTAAAAACCCCAAGAAACTCGTGATTTTTGCCAATTTTCGATTGTAGTCTCTACACAGTTGTTTGTGTCGCTTTGAAAATAGCTACACATCTTAGCTACCACCTCTAGCAATCAATAAAAATTAGTTTTGTGTAATGCCCCGCCGTCTGAATGTCTCAAAAAAATTAAAAAACCCAAAAAGTCGTGATTTTTGTCAATTTTCGATTGTCGGCTTTACACTCAGACGGCGGGGCATTACACAAAACTAATTTTGTTTATTGCTAGTAGTAGCTAACATTCATAGCTATTTCCAATATGGCACAAAAAGCCCCCAGAATTTATGAGAATCCGGCCGGTATAGTTAAAAGGAGGCTCAACCGCGATTTTTTAGTTCTATGGATGAGATTTTATGGATAAGTTCACACTAACATAGGTAGACTGTCTCAATACCTTATCTATCTTGAAATTCCATAGACTTTTAAAAGCAAGTGTATACGAAATCAAAATGCATCAATAGGTATGTAACTATAAATAACTCATTGTGAATAACAGTCAGAGAATAATACAGTTTCTGGGATTCCGAGGTCGTTTTCGATCGGTAATGTTGCCGGCGTGATATTATTTGCTATATCGTTTTGTTTTACAATTTAGGTATCGATGTTCATTTCAAAATTTCATTGGATGCACAGGTGAGTACCTGAGTCAAATAAGTTATGTCAAAAATGTTGAATGTACTCAAGACGACACCATTTAAGAACTTGATTCAAATACATCATTAAAATCTGTTTTTTTTTTAAAGATAAAAGTCAAAATGACATTATGTTGGCAATATAATGTAAAAGTGTCAATGTTTCATATTTTTTATGTAGAAAAAGCTTGTGTTGCCAACATAGTTACTAAATTTTTGACTTGGGGAATTATCTTTAAAAAAAAAACGAACTTTTATATTGTACTTAAATTATTATTTATGTAGGTTTTTCGGACGTGTCGCCTTAGTGTCTAGGCGAACTCAACGTCGATTTCTAAAATAAGGTATCGAAGGTCCGTTTCAAAAATATTTGATTTTTCACGTTTTGTCCAAACAAAACAAGTGATTGCATAGGTTAGCTATTGAGAATATTACTTCATTCTCTCCTTCACTAATAGTAGTCAATAAAAAATACTTAACTAAGCCATATCAGCTATAGGACAATTAAAATAATTACTGTGAAGTCATACTTGTAATCATTGGCACAGCATTAATGAACGCTTATCAGTTGTAATTAAGATACAACCATGTGAACCGCAAACAGTTCTAGTAGTGCCTGTATAGCTTAGTTCCACTTAAATGTTGAAAAACATTCGAATTTCAGTAGGTACGCAAATACATATTTCGCGAATCGATACAAAAGAGACTTTGAGTTTTTCTTTGTAATTAATTATTTTTAGATTTCTGTTATTGGTAAAGTTATGTTAACCAAAGACTTCAAAAAGACGCTAGAGGGAAGTCCATCTGTGTAATAGGTAAGACACGTGTAAACTAAATACATAATAGCTTATAGGGACCAAATAAACACGTAGAAAATTTCCATTATCGCAATTTTACATTAAGAAAATTTGTATTACTAAGTTCTAACGTACTGTTACAAATCAGTGCAATGTTGCCAAACTTACGCTTTACTTAAGTTCCGGAAATTGTGTATAAAGTGGCAACAGCGCATGAGAAGATTCCCCATGGAAACTTAGCCCAGGGTATGAACCACAAATGGAAAATCTCAGCCCTTCGGGACTTAAAGTAACCGAGATAACCTTATTAAGAAACCTATCTTAAAAAAATCACAAAATGAAAATTTATGGAAATTCAAAAAAATTTCAAGTTCTACTTGAGACTGAGAACGTAATTTTGATGTTTTCCGTAATTTTTTCATATTTTCCAACGTTTCTTCTTCGTTTATTGTTTTGAATTAAAGTTAATTTACTTAATTTGGGAAGGGTAGTCTCACTTCTCTGGTGAACCCGCACACCTAACAGTAACTAAACTCAGTCTAGAAAAGGAAAATTGCTACTATTGTAGAATTTTTGGTTATTGCATTACCTTTCCTATGATCATACGATTCAAGTATCTATATACTGTATTAGTCCTAGCTAATTTTCTATTTAGCTTGTTGAAGTAGAATGGTTAAATTTGTAATTAAATTATAAAACCAAAACAAGTTGCATCTCAAATTAAAAGCAATTTACTCAGGCGATCGACAATTTCATGTCAGGCAAAACTAAACAAAAAAAAATTAATATTCAAGTCATTGTCCAAGACGACAATATCATCGGATGTCAATGTTAATAAAGTGAGAACAACAGTATGACTAGACGGACTAGACATTATACACAACTGAATTTTAAAAAAATTATGTGTTGCTCACCTATCAACATTTATGGAAAAGATTCGAGATAAATATACAATTTCGGTAATTACTGCATATTTACCTAAGTTCATAAGTACCTAGGTTTTGTATATGCGCAGTTCGCCACCATAAACACGAGCTAAGCTGAAACTGTGATTCAAATTTTGCGTAATACATAATTTAAAGATTAACCGGCATGATAAGATATTTCACAGCTATCTCACTTTTTTAACTAAATCTATAGGTAGAAAACGTACTCACGCACAATATAATTAATTATAATTGATTTTAGATTATTCCTGGAACAGTAGGTAGTTAAATGTTAAGCTGATGGTAAAAGTGCATTTTAAAAATGAAGCTGTTATATTTGTTATTTGCTTTGGTAAGTGATATTTTGATCTTTCATAAACATATACTATTCTATAGTGCTAATTTTAATAAATCTATATTTGAAAGCAAAATGTTATTGCAGATTATACATAGCTATTAGCGAAAAAATTAAAGAGAAAGTGGTTTAACAAATTGTACTTCAAAAATTATTACCATACAATTATACAATTCATACAAACCCGAGTACAAACCACTTAACTTAGATTTTAATATACCGATCAAAAAGCATAGGTACTTGAAAAAAATTAAAAAAAATGTCATGGCATCATGCGTTGTGAACTTTTGAATTCTCAATCAAGTAACTAGGCTTTTTAAATATTTAACTCACCGTAGCCCTTCACTTCAAAATATGATAAACCAACTCTGGTATGGGATGGAAGATATTTGTGCAAATATCTATTTAAATTTGTCGAGTAAAAGTTTGTTTAAAAAAAATATATTTTTATTCCAAGAGAATAATACCTTCCTCAACCTCCCAATCTTGAAAAAAGACTCATTTATTTCATTCATGCATAAATTTGTTCAAAAATTATTTTCATTTACTTATTCGAAAGTATCATTTTTCCATCTGAGAATTAAACATCTATCCCTATTGACCCTATTACTGTTCATTAAAATTTTAGGATCTCCTAAACCTAGCAGTGTTCCTTCCAGTGTTCAATCCGTTCTCAAGATCACTAGGGGGCACCCCCTTTACTATAGGTCTTATCAACTCTTGTAGTGCCTTAGTTAGTCTTTTATGGAACCCCATTGTGGTGAGTTTACTAAAATAATAAAAAAATAGTCTAATTATTTAATGAACGATTCAGGGAAGTTTAAGTGACCAAGTAGGAAGAAAGAGCATTTTAATAAAATGCCTTACAGCCAGTTCCATAGGAAGCATCGTCTTGGCTTTTTCATCTTCATTGACTATGGTTTTCATAGGAAAAATGATTGGAGGTTACATGCATACCTATATATATCTTCATATATTATAATGTTTCTTGTTTTCTAGCTCTGGGAAGTCCAGTAGGCATTCTCCTAAGATCCACCGTAGCTGACATATATAAAACAGCAGAAGAGAAGAAAGCGTTTTTTAATAAATGCGCTCCCATTATGTCAGTTGCTTTCCTAGTTGGTTCTTTGTCTAGTGGATTTTTAAGTGAAGCTAAAGGTGGTTTCTCCATGGCATTTTTACTTATGGCTTCTATTATGGGATTGGGGGCTGGTATGTATCTTTATTTGTGTTTGCATAAAAAATAGAATTAAATTTGCACACTCGTACTACCCTAATCACCTTTGATCTGATAAAGTGGTCAATTTTTTAAGACATAATAATTGGTCTAGCACAATATATTAGACTAATAGGTCACAAATAACTGAGTAATTTACTTTGTATTTTATAATTAAAATTTATAACTAGAATAGATGAGTAGGGCGTAACTTACAAAAGTTGTTAAACGAGTTGTCAAAGAAGACTTATAACTGGGAATATTAAGAGATCCGAAAACCATGAGTGTGATAATTGTGAAAAAAATGTATTTGTAAAGCGGGCAGAAATCTACTAGGATGCAGTGCAAGGTTATGCAATACTCGAAGTTCCAATTTCCCAAAATGTCTATCAGCTACAAAAAAAAATCCCTCAAGTATATAGTTTCAGTTCTGTGCAACGCGAAAACATAAAAACGTCATAAATATGGTTCTTGAAACTCGCTGGTGGACAGGCCCGTCTCGCAGATACCACACCAAAATTTCACAAATAGGGACGTTAGTTGCTACGATCGTCATTGATGATTTGAACATTAGCTAATCATCCGTGATAAAAATGACAAATTCCACGATTCGAGGAAAATTTTGAACGCAGCACGGCCGATTCGTTCCCAAACAGTGAGATACCTGCCATTAATTCAAGCTTAAGAATGGACTGAACCTTTAGAGGCTGACTTTGCATTTGGCACACACCAGAGACGTTTTCATGACTCCCGAGATGAAAATAGATGACTGAAGAGTAACTGACCTGAATGACTGAACCATCAAGTGTTCCATTCTAGAGATTGAATCTACAACAACAGGTCTTGGAATCTTGATTTGCTCGTACTGGTGGAGCTGAGACTAAAGGTATTACAGCTCAGAAGTAGAGGTACACATGCCATCCCAAGGGGTGTGCGGAATTAAAACTGGAAAATCTACAGGTTGCTGATAGAATGGTAATCGATGAAAAATTTTAAAATGAAATTGAAAGATATCGAAACTGAAAAGGATATTTTTTCACCTTACTTTGCTCTACTTCCAAACTCCACTCAGCTGGCTAGCTCATTCAGGAAGTTCGGGTCCAATGCGTAGGAGTGCAACGAAACCGTCTTGATTTAACCGGTCGCGGCAAACGAAAAACCGCGGGTCTATTTTCTCGAACCACACAAAGCGGGCGAAGTGTTTTTGGCAACTGGTGCTGCTTGTCGGCAGGAACTGTAAGGACTCTGCCGATACCCTTTTTCAGTGTTTAACGCGCGCATTTTTAAAAGCCAAATTTAGCAAAGCCGTATCATTCTTAAGCATAGAGCACGCGCAATTCAATTAGAAAAAAAATTAAAAAAAAATAAAGAAAAACGAATCAATCATGGAAACATCAATTTCAATTTCCAAATAGGATTTAACATCCTGAATGCCCAATTTAACCTACAACTATAGGTATACAGCAGAGCTGGGATCGTTACGTACTTGAAAAAAGTAACGCGTTACTTTACAGTTAGGTACTTTTGCTTAAAAATAACTCGTTACTTAAAATTTACAGTTACTTTCGAATAATGATAACTTTATTTTCGTTACTTATTGGAAAGTAACGCGTTACTGTAACTTCTTTATTTTGAAAGTAACTTCTCTACTTTAGAAGTAGTTCGTTACCCTTAAAAGTAACTCGTTATTTGAAAGTAACCCGTTACCTCAACGCGGTAGTTTGAAATAAAGCGCTACTTTTAAATAAAGCGTTACTTTTAAAGTAACGCGTTACTTCAAAAATAACTATTTACGTCGAAAATTGCGTTATTCCTTAATTTAACTCACCAACACAGCAGTCCAAACAATCAAATAAGACCTATACGAAATGCCAATATGTTTTTAGTTTGTGAGTCTGACTATGTGGAAGAGTTTTGTTGCAAAATTCAATTAATTAAAGATTAAGCGATTAAATAGAGAACTTGGTTTTGGACAAACCTGCTTTTTGAAGCGTCCCAAAAACGAATAATTTGAGCTTTCAAAACAAATTTTCTGTACTATCCACATTTTGTTTGACATGCAAAGTTTTTTGATTACTTATTTTCCTTTTCCTCAATCGTCAAATATTTGTAAAGAAGATAGACAAATTGAGAGAACGCGTTACTCTCATAGTAACTAGTAACGCGTTACTTCCATATAAACGCGTTATTTTCATAATAACGCGCTACTTTCATAGTAACTTGTTACTTTACCAAAATAACGATCTGCAGTTACTTCAGGGAAGTAACGTCGTTACAGTTACTTATCATAGTGGAGTTCCCTCGTACGAAATTTTGGAGGAATACGCCAAATTGGGTTACAAGCATGAAATTTGGCATAATTGTCAGGAAACACATTTTAAGAGATCTGACCCGACTAGCCAGGCTCTACGACCCACAAGACTCTCAACCTCGCCATTTTTTTCAAAATGGCGTTTGGGAGTTTCTTCAATTTCAAAATTAATTTACTTGTGCATGATTATACTCTTTTTCATATAATTTAAAGTCAAGGAATTCAAAAAAAAAAATTCAAAATGATATGACCGTCAGTTACCTTGAAAATTACAGTTTAAATTAATTTTAACATGTGTGCTAATGTGCTATGCTCGCTTTGCCAGCCTCCACAAGGAGTTATCGTTTCCATCTAGAGAGGTGACATACTTCATCCAGGTTTTATTCCTGGTGATTTCGTATGTCCCTCTCTATTTCGCGGTTCATTATTCTGATAATCTCCCGGTCTGAGGGGTTGGGGCGCCTCTGACATGCTCTTTTGACCCTATTTCGTTCCTTGATTAGTGCTACAATGTAATGCTGCGGGAAGGAGTCTGTTCTGTGTTTCAAGGTGATTTTTGGGGATAGGTGGTCCCTGACGGATTGGATGTTCTTTAAAACTACTCGCCTCTCAAGTTATGGAATACTAGATAATGATTGGATCGTGGATGGCCGTAATATCAGTCAGTCTTCGTTTGTACCTTGGCCAGTCGAAATGCTTGTACGAGAAGACCTTCAATTCCTCTAGCACTGGAGAGTTTTTCCAGTACAGGAAGATCAGTGAGTGGTCTGAGCCGAGTGAGTCATTTGTTTTGAATTCGATGTTAGTGAGCCCTTTCGGAAGTGCAACATCAATTACGGATGGGGTTAGGCCAAAAGTGATTGCTTAGCTTAGCATACCATAAATATTCAAATGCCTCATCAAAGGCCAAACATTTTTTTTCTAACTAACAGATCAGTGGTGGCTGGTGCGGTAGTAGTAAGGTACATGTCATTACCTTATTTTTCACAGAAATGTTCCAAAGTATCATATATGAAGCTTATAAGATTATAACACCTTTTTTTCAGAAAAATAAGGTATTGCCATGCCTCCGTGGCACCGTGGCATTACTTCATCAGCCGCCGCTTTAACAGATACTGCAAACTATAGGTCAATAACTAGGGATTTTTGGTTTTGGCATTCGCCCTTGCAGTTAGTACATGCGGCTGTACTATAGGTTTCCGACACGAACATCTGTTGGTTTCACATTGACCTTCACATCCACACTTCTCTAGTCCTCTTAGAGCTCACCAAATTTGTGGTAAATGGCTCCCAGCGTATGTTTGTTAAATTCCAACCCCATCCTCCAGGTTATTGGTCGTTCTCCATTACAAAGCTGGACCTTTCTCAATTCATAGTAGTGTCGCACCCCGTTAAAGCGATGCAGTGCTAATGATTTTTCTGGTCCCAAATGATTTGCAACGTTATGAGCTGCAATTCGCGATTTGCTAACCCCATATAGACACCATAATTCCTCAAGGCCCAAGAAGTTCAATATAAAAAAAAAATTATATTCCGATTATTACAGCATCTGTGTCCGAGCATCGTACTAGAACGGATTTAGCGCCATTCTGAACCAAATATTCAACATAATCTCGAAACCACTCTGGATGGATTATCTTGTGCCGACATGGAGGAAGCAGATGAAAAAATGTTTTCACATGTTAAGTCCTTAGCCCTTGAGGAATTCTGGTATCTTGTATATGGGGTTAGCAAATCACAAAGATATATTGCAGCTCATAACAGTCATAACATTGCAAACCATATATTGGGACCTGAAAAATCTTCAGGACTGGCGTGGCTTTTACGCTTTTACGGGGTGCGACACTAGTTCCTTTTTTGCATTGAAAATAAAAAACAGGAAATGGACAGCATATGGGAAGATTATCCGTAGGCAGGGTGCCTTTTCATTATGTATCTTTAATGAATATAGTAGCATAGATATACCACAAAATATTTTAAAAATTTTAAAGAAATTCACTAAAACAGTATATGATGCAAAAAGCAAACTTGAAAAAGTTACCGAATTGAGAAGGGTGCAGTTTTGTAGTGGAGAACCACCAATAACCATAGGCGATTTCGCCCTAGATTTTCATCTGCTGTTTGGTAGGCGAATGATTAACCAATTGGTACGTAAGTGACGTAGCTCAACAATCTCATCCGAATTCAGTGGATAGGGCGTTTGGTACATTTTGACTTTGACATGTTTATTTGGACATAAGAGAAAAAGAAACAGAAAGCTACCAAACCTCCACTTACCAGTTAAACCGCGGTATAGCATCTGATAGACCAAAGGGCCTACCAAAGTTGTTGTGACAGCATCATTCACTCATCCGAAATTGAATGGTACCTGTTTGGCAGACCAAACTGGGGTACCAAACTGAGGCGAAATCGCCTCATGTTTCCACCCTTACAAGACAGTCTAATGGAAGACTACAAAAGAGCTGCGTATCAAGCCGGTCAAATATTGGGTCGATCGCTGTCACTCGGTGAACCTGTTCCATCACCTGGAGGATGGGCTTGGAATTTAACAAACAACTGCTAGGAGCCAGCTACCACAAATTTTGTGACCTCTAAGAGGACTAGAGAAGTGTGGATGTGAAGGTCAATGAGAGACCAACAGATGTGCGTGTCAGAAAGCAGGTCTACCTTGTACACCCATGTACTAACTGCAAGGGTGAATGACAAAACCAACGATCCCTATAGTTTGTAGTATCTGTTAAAGCGTCGGCTAGTGAGGTAGCGCCACGGTGCCACGGAGCCATGGCAGTACCTAATTTTTCTGAAAAATGTGAAAAATTAGGTAATGACATTGCTCCATATACCTCAGTACTACCGCATCAGACACCGCTGATCTGTTATATAAAAAAAAAATTGGCTTCAATAAGACATTTTAAGTTTTATGTTATGCTAAGCAATCATTTTTGCTTTTTAACCCCCTTCTATTGGCGGTTTCAAACATGTTATATTGAAATTATTTTAAAATTGATTTAAATTGTAATTTTCAAGGTTACTGAAGGTCATATCGTTTTGAATTTTTTTTTTTGAATTCCTTGACCTCAAATTATATAATAAAATGTATAATCATGCCCAAGTAAATTAATTTTGCAATTGAGGAAATTCCCGTCCGCCATTTTGAAAAAAAAATGCGAGATTGGGGGTCTTGAGGGTCGTAGAGCCTGGCTAATCGGGTCAGATCTCTTAAAATATGCTTCCTGACAAGTATGCCAAATTTCATGCTTGTAACCCAATTTGGCGTTTTTTTTTATGTAGGCACTCCACTATCAATCAATCTGAAAAGTAACGAAGTTACCAAGTAACGCGGTACTTTCAGTAGCTCGTTAAAGTAAAGTAACTATTTTTTTGTCGTTACTCCCAGCTCTGGTATACAGGGTGCGTAGACGAAACTGAACATTCTGCTCGACTAAGAATATTTAGCACGATGCAAGATTTATTAGGAGGTAGTACACATGAGTATGGATGGCCTAGGATTTAGATAAAACTAGGCTCATCTTTGTCAAAAGAGCAATATGGCACTTCTCTATATAGAAGGCCGGCGGCAAGGAGAACTAGATAGTTGCTGTTCTACTTGCTGAGTTGAAAGCCGCCCTTTTTCAAGATCTAGAATCTAGATGAGTTTTGTCTGTAGAGAGAGAAGAGATTCGAGGAAATCGCTGCGTGTCATCTTCGTAATTGTCCCTTCTAAGGAGACTGGCTAGTTCTTGGAGAGTTTTCAAAGCTAACAAGGAAGATGTTCGACTGCCGTTGAAAACAGGATGACTAGGAAGTATTCTTTAATAAAGTCACTGGGAGAGAACATTAGGAGGATTCGTTAATAGTTATATATGTAATTGGTCTAAACCAGTGGTTCCCAAACTGGGGGGCGCGCCCCCCTGGGGGGGCGTGAAGCAACATTGAGGGGGGCGTAAGTCTTCTAAACGATTAATACAAATTTTAAGCTTTGAAATAAAAAATCAGTTGAAATTTAAAAAAAGATGTCTACAATCCTGCAACAGCGCATACATAAGCCAAAGCAACTTTGCCATGCGATCTGTTACTGTATCCCTTTTACCCATTGAGTTACTCGGAGCTGCTTAATGTCAAAAGCGTGAACTTTCCTAGTGCGTGAAAGCACTCGAGTCGCTCATAGTGCATCCCCCTTTCTCCTGATGCACCAAATTTGCGGGGGTGCAAGAAGTTTCTTTAGGTAATGTTAATATTATAGTAGAATGATAATATCTGATTTATTCTGAATTATGTGTTTTGGAGTGACTCCGAGGAGCTATAGAGCGACACGTTCGGTGTAACGCGATGTATAAAAGGAATACAGTAATTGCTACAGCGCACGCTCGCTGCCGACTGTCATGCCCATTCTTCCTCTTCCAAAGTCCAGTATAGACGAGTTACAGTAAGTAAAAAAAAAATGTTTTTGTATAATGGGGGAAGTAAGGTGGGCGCGACCACTTCTTCATTTCAGAAAGGGGGCGCAAAAGAAAAAAGTTTGGGAACCACTGGTCTAAACTATGACTGTATATTTTGAAGTCTTCAGTCTTCAGCCACATAACATTAGTATGACCACTGCCCAAATGATGAAATCCTATTTTCGATGGATTGAAATCCTAAAGGATAATTTAATTTTGCTTCAAGTATGAAAAATCGATGGTCTCTCCTGGGATGGCTGTTTGGTAAGTCCTTGTTATTCTTGATCAAAATTTCTGTAGTCACTACAGTGTTATGACTGTTTCATAAATCCAGTAGATCTGTTTGGGGGCCATGCCCCAGGACCTGACACAAATTCTTCTGAGATTCCAGAGGGATAATCTGGCTTTATTGATGTTTTTCTTCAGGTGGGAGTTCCGGGTTAATTTCCTATTGGGTATAACACCCAGATATTTAACATTTTCTACAAATGGAATTGATTCGCCATACATAATTGGCTGACGAAGCTTGTTTAGCTTTATTCTTTAAGTAAAAGGAATTACTACTGTTTTGCTTTACAGACAACTCTTCAACCTCACACCTGTTAGTAACCTTGTTTAGAGAGCGGTCTGCATGATACCGGAAATTATTTCTTCATGTGCCCCTCTAACTACGATAACTAGATCATCCGCCTAACACTGAAAATCAATCCCTTGGGTCACCCAGCAGAGAGTCAACCAAGAGGGGCCACAGCAGGAGGGACAAAGCAAGGCCAGGGTATAATCGCAAATCTACCTGAGAGTTCACGATATCGTGTGTAGATTGAAGATGGGTTTTCAGAATTTGCTCAATATCCCAAAATAATAGAAACGACAAGCTGTTTTTCCTTATAGAATAATGTATGCAAACATTGTTTTCATTGCAATAAGGTGAACAGGTTCTCCAAATAAGTATTTACACAGGCTGCAATGGATATTCCACTTATAAAATGGTCCCTCTCCGGGAAGGGAGGACGAAGTGGGGATCCACATGTGTGTAGTCAATAAGGTTGGAATCGCAAAGTTACGCCGCGCGATTTGATAACTGATGATTTTGGAAAGACCAAAGATTTTTGAATTTGAAAGAATTTTCTGCCGTTGGCGTACGGCGTACGTTGTAAATTGAAGACACGCAGGTAGCCAAAGATAGAAAATCCTAATCCAAATAAGTATAGCGAGCGTTAAAATTTTAAAATTTCTTGGAAATGGATAAAAAATGATGGCAACGTGAAATGAAATTAGTGGACTGTTATTTCTTACAGGGCAACACGAAAACACACAAAGGTCATATTGGTTCTTGAAAAAAGATTCAGTACGTTATTCGGATGTAAAGGAGACTCGCTGGTGGACGGGCCTGTCAGCATACATAATTTCGACAAATAGGAACAGTTTCTACAGGGGAACTTGGCACTTTAGCATTAAGAGAATCGAATTCCCTGTTCCATGCAATCTTCTGTGCTTTTGTGGTACCTATACAATGTAAGCAGTTTCCTTGTTAAAATTAAATCACCTATCACTGTACTTGCAATAAAAGATTCATACAATGGTATAAAACGTGCCAACGATCAATGGTTGGTACGTAGCGATAACTGCTTTTGATTAAAATTGACGAATCGTGAACTACATAAGTCGACTTGTTTCAATGTCTTGACGAACTCACCGAAATTATTATCATTAGAAAATTAAAAAATGGATATTCAAAATGACTTTTCTATTTTATTTTTAGTTATAGCAAACTCGACCATATCAAACGACTTGAAATTGAAAGAACAACAAAAGGAAAAAGTTTCGTTTGTCTCTAAAGCTACTAAGGAACTGAAATCAGCTGTGGTCAACATTAGAACAATATCGTGGCCTCACTACAAAGATCTGTTTCTCATAAAGGGCTTTTACGATTTCAGTATCGCAACGATATTCGCCAACGTTGGACTAACAATGATTTACGAATTTGACGTTAAAGGTCGTACCATTGGATATATTTTCATGATGACCAGTCTATGTAGAATATTTTCGAATATTCTTAAACTTAAGCTGAAAAATGCTACAGCTAATGTTCCTGATAATACTAAGATAATAATAGTTGGACTAATAATATTAGTTTGTTACATAATTATGTCCATATCATATACCTTACGTATATTTGTGATATTCTTAGGACTTATGTGTATATGTCGCGCATTTATGGATACATTACTTTTGGAAATTATTGCTACAAGAACAACGGAAAAAGATAGAGGGAAAGTGATGGGTGCTTATGAAAACCTATATTCGTTTTCAATGTTTATAGCACCATTGTTAACAGGAATATTGGCAGAAGCATTTGGGCAGAGGGTTTTGATTGGCTCAGCAGTTATACCTGTTAGTTTAGCTGTTTTTGTAGCTTATAGGGAAACTCAAAAGACTGAGAAGAATCATTGAAAAGTGTATCAAATGTGAACAATTATTTTAAGAATTATTCATGAATTATTTTGTACCCATGTCTAGTCATTTAAAGGATAACTTTAACAAAAAATAAATCTTAATACACTTTGTTTCACGAGGGTTTATAGTTTTGACATGATTTGCCTTCCTTTTTTAACAAATACAAATTGTTCGTCGGTTCTTAAATTAGAAGTCAATCATTTTAATTTGTGAAAAAAATTGAACGTGTCATATGAATTAATCTACGACAACCCTCTTTTTTTCAACTTATGACATCTTTGATAAACCATCGTGAAACGAACTTTACTCACATACAATTTAGAATGAACAATCTTAGAGGCCTATTAGCCAATTATTTGAATAAACTTACTTATTTATACATACGCATTTACTGTGTTTTGTGATGTCCTTTTTCCATCAAAAACAGACAATATAACATCTACCTATATAAAAATCCGCTAGATAATTTTATTTATTCTTTATTAAAATTTTTCAGCATTGGCAAATCAGAATCTCGCAAGCGATAGTAAACAAACTAAAGACAAATCAAAACCCAAGCTATCCCTAATCCAGAAAGGTATCGGAGAATTGAAAAAGGCAGCACAAGATATAAAAAGCATCTCTAAACCACATTATAGAAGACTATTTACTATTAAAGCATGCTACGACTTTGCAACAGCTATAATATTGGCCAATCTTGGTTTAATTATGGTGAATGAATTTAACATAACTGGTCGTTATATGGGTTATGTGTTTCTTATGACAAGTGTTATTTCCATAATAGCAAACATAGTAAACTTGCGAGCCCATTCCATTTTGAAAAGGATTGCACTAAGTAGGATGTTATTTATAGGAGGTTCGATACTAACCATATCATATATTGGATTGGGTGTTTCGATTTCATCGAAAACGAGTTTCTTAACGTTTATGTGTTTAATGTGTTTTGCAAACGCTTTTATGGATACCACATTAGCAGAAATGGCAACCAGTGAAGCCAAGGAAGAAGAGAGGGGAAAAGTTATTAGTGCTTGCGAAAATATGGTACAGTTGGCTCAAATTATTGTTCCAGTTTTAAGTGGATCGGTTGCAGAAATTATCGAGCAAAGATTTATTGTTCTTTCTGCTACAGTACCAATGGTTACTCTGATGGTTGTGGCAAACAGTAAAGTGAAGACGAATTAAATAAATTAATAAAATTTTAAATTAACGAAATAAATAATTATGTTCTTTCATTATTTATTCAACTGGCAAGTAGCACTTCTTTAACTGTCCGCGTGAACGTTGGTTGACTTTTACCCAGATTGTTTCGGTTCCCATCTCCTTCATCCACCCTCAAACCTGCTGCCTCCTCCCGCTCCCATCAAGTTACCAAGGCGCTTGGCAAGGCCAGCGAGGAAGACCAATTAAAAATATGTCAACTTCAAAGCCAAGGAGCTTTAGGACCTGAGAGTCCTTATTTTTGAAACGAGGGAGCAGTGTTCCCAGGAGAACGAGTGTGCCGTCTTATATTATCAGTTGCATATCATTGAGAAATACGGAACACTCGTTCTCCTGGGAACGCTGCTCCCCTGTTCAAGAATAAGGACCCAGGTGAGTAGGGACATAGAGTGTTTTCACAGCTCAGACCAATCCCCACCTCTACCACGTAAAAACCCCCCTCCAGCACAGCCATCATACCACTACCCAACTCCACTATGAACCCCCTTCCGTGAAGCTCCTACCCAGAGGAGGCTTTTTACCCAATTCCACTGTAAACCCCCTTCCGTAAAGCCCTCCATTATGGAGGACTTTACGGAAGGGGGTTGGCTCCATTAATCTTTTTTCAAAAGGCTCCTACCCTGAGATGGCACTTTTTTATATCCCTCCAAAACTAAAGAATATTTTACCAATTCTTCCATTTGTATTCGTCAGTTTTGAGGTTGGCCCGGGTCAAATCCCCAAAATTTCAGATCAGAGGCGCCGCCGATCTAGAGATTTTCGAAAAACTTCCAAAGCTCAAGTGCCCCCGGCTATCAGACCAATACCCACCTCTACTACGTAAATGGTCCACCAGATTCACAAGCAAAATGTTATTATTGCAATAAAATTGATGCACCTGTTTATAACCAATACCCACCTCACAGCTATCAGAGCCTCTGCTACGTCAAAAACTTCTACTCTGAAGAGGTACTTCTTTCCATATCCCTTCACATTCTTGAAAATTAAAGAATATTTATGTACGTACGACCCACACTGTTAGAGCTTATTACGTAACTCATTTTAGCCTGTTTGAGTTACGTAATAATAGTATTATAGTACTTAGTGATTTAATGGGCTCATTACATCACTAGCGATGTAATATAAATCACTAGTGATATAATGAGCTCATTACGTAACTAATTTTTATTCAAAAACGGCACTTTTAAAAATTCATTTATTTGAAAAAATTATAAATCTAATCTATTGTGAAAAATTAAAACCATTTCGAATACATAAAAAAAAAATCTGGGTCGTACATAAAATGTTGTATATCACACGTACGGTAACGCTCATTACACCACTCGTGTAATTAGGTACCACGACTCGGTCTACGACCTCGTCTTGACAATATTCCCCACTCGTTACTATAATGGTGCACATACCGTACTTGTAATATAACATTTTGCTTATGAATCTGGTGGACCATCAATGCGAGTTCTCCAGTCTGGTCTGTTGTGATGAATGAAGCATGGTAACTTAATTTGAAGAAGCGAGCTATTTTTGTAACTTATTGGTAATTTACCCCATGCATCCAAAAGTTCAAAGGACTTTGCATGTTTCAATAAATAATCAAACGGAATTCTCAATACTTCTTCGCTTGTAAAATCTAAGAGTAATTTTTCACCATTCATATGAGCTAAAACATTATCTATACATAGAGGAACAACAACTCATTTTCGAGTTTTTTACAGTAGTTGTCAAAACTCAGCCTAGGAACTTTTTCGATACCGTGGGAAAAATCTCTAGATCGGCGGCGCCTTTGATCTACAATTTTGGGGATTTGACCCGGACCAACCCAAAATTGACGAATACAAATGGAAGAATTTGTTAATCTTCTCTTCGCCTTTAGTTTTCAAGAATGTGGAGGGACATAAAAAAGTGCCATTACCGGGTAGGAGCCTTTTGAAAATAATGAAAAATAATAAAAAATAAATAATAAAAAATAAATAAATAATAATTAGATTAATGGAGAGCTTTACGGAAAGGGGTTTACAGTGGAGGTGAGTAAAAAGTGCCTCCTCAGGGTAGGAGCTTCACGGAAGGGTGTGCATGTAGAGGTGGGTATTGGTCTGATAGCTGTGAAAACACTCTACTGGGACAAAAACCCGAACTCATCACCCAATCAGCCTCAATGATTTTATGAGGGGCGACATAAAGCATCATCGACACGCATAAATTGGAAAGCTGAAGATTTTAGGAAATTTTGCCTAGCAACGTATAACATCAGATCCATAGAAAACGACAAGATCATAAAACATGAAGAGGAACTCCAGAAAACCAGATGGAATATACTAAGACTTATCTCAGTCCACGAAACCGAGATACATGGGAAGATGGTATTCCTTGGCTTTTTTTAAGAGTATTTTTATGGGGAAGAGATGATCAGAAGTACTAAAACCCCATTCAACTGTTTGGTGGCTTTATATTTTAAGTATGATACACGATTAGTGATGATATTCATGAACACCTTATAATTGGGATCATAACGGGATGGGACGGTAGTTTCTAATTCACTCTGTCACCTTTTTTTAATAGCAGATTTTCTGCACTCTTCATGCATAGGTTGAAAATTTTCTTCAATATTGATAGAAGAGCCTGTTTTTCTTCTTTCAGCATTGCAGCTATTCCTCATCTTGTCCCGATGACTTGTTTTTCAGATCGTTAATTGCATCTCGATTTTAAATTCTTCGATATCTAGATATCATATCTTCGGAACCGACATTTTCCATTTTTCGTTGGTCATTGATTTTTGTCTCCACGTCAGGATCGATGTTTCTTTGTATTGTATATAGGTAGCTTTGTTACAACAAAGCCGGAAACCAATTTACCGTCAAGCGATTCTTCGCAAAACCCAAAATTTTTGCATAGAATCGGAAATTCGTATACAGAGTGGTTTCGTTGTATTAAAATTAAATATAAAACCAAAATTTCGAAAGATTGCTAGTAGCCAATTTTTGAGGCAAGTGTATTGGTAAACGGTGATAGTTGTAACAAAAAAGGATCCATTCAAGCAAGACCAATCTTGAGACAGATTTAGAATAGGTTGCGATACAAACTTTCCACCACTAAAGCATTTTTATTCTTGTCCATTTCTCCTGCTCCAACTTCATTTTTTATGCGCATGGTTTTGTTGGTATCGAGTCCTGGTTTCAGGGATTTTAAGCCTTCATTAGCTCCTATATGATTTTTATTTATGGGTATTTATTAAGAGTTGTTTGTATTATTTTATTGATTTCTCTCGTAGTATTTTGTGTTCAGGTTCGTTTTATCATTGATGTTGTTTGTCATCTACTTCTGACTCTTCTTACATGCCCTTTTCAAATTGGCTTCGAAATTTTTCTGCACGCATAAATAAGTAGGTACCTCTTATTTGATATCAGTTGAACTTCACCCTTGCGTCGAAGAGCTTTTTCCGTTCAAACTTGGCCCCGAGTTAGATTTTATTTCTAAGATCTCTATCGCCCACTGCAGATCCCCACATCTTCTTTAACTTTAACATAGGAACTAAGGAACTAATAGACTGTGAGATACGGACTGTTTAGTGAAGTCATTTTTTTTTGTCTGGCATTTTGAGGGCTGAATGTGGCTACTAAGCTGATGAGAATATGGGTAATTTTAATGCCGGCCTCCCGTTCGAAAATTCGCAGAAGAAAAAAATTGATTTACATGAAGAATTTTTTTTTTTTAATGATCTCAAATTTTCTGGCTTTTAAATAAAAGATTGACATTGATGAATAATTCACCCATGAAAAATATCATATGCTCATCAATAGCTGAAAAAATGGGGATGGGTGTCAACTTCCAAGAGAAAAGAAAAGAACCTTCCGCGTTTACTTTTTGTCTGGCAATCAAGAGAATGAAAGGTTTTATTGTGAAAATAACGCTCAAAAATCGCCAGACGGTAGTCACAGTTCGAAATCGAGTTTTCCGGCGAAACATTCTGTGGACATTTCGAACAGGAGGCAGGCATTAAAACCACTTATATTCTCATCAGCTAACTAGTCACATTCATCCCTCAAAATGCCAGACAAAAAAAAATGACTCCACTAAACAGGCCCTATCTCAGGGTCTATAAGGAACTAGCAATTTTTATTCATACTTTCAGGTGATATCCAGGTCCATTTTCTTGGAGAAACTTTAAAAAGGATGTTCTAGGAATTCATGAAGTCTCTCTCCTGTATCTCAGTTCTGGATCTGTTATCTGAAGGTGCCGATTTTCTTTCCTTCACGACCTTTTAGCATTAAAGCCGCCTTTCATCTTCTTCATTGTTTGTTGATGTCAGTGCAGAATTGAGTGAGCTTCAGGTACTTTCTCAAATTGATGTTGAGGATGATGTATCCAACTCTCAATCTCCAGGGACACAGCCTTGGATGTCTTGAGATTTGAAGCAGAATTTTCAAATATTGTGTATTACCCATTATGATAATAAATATATTATGGTTGTCAGACCTGGATATTTTGAGATATTTAGGTACAATGGCGACAAACTGTCTAAGACTCAAAGGACTCAGTACGCTGTAGTGATGAACATAGAGCGCCACCAGACCGATGAAATTGAGAAAATAGGATTTTCGGAATCTAGGAAGCTGAAAACTTATAAATGTGAAAAAATCCCGAGGTCGATTTATTCAGATTCAAGGCAAAATTTCAACTAAAAATTTTATATTAAGCAAAAAACTGAACTAGGAACAACAATAATGATATCAATAGACCCATTTTCAATTGGTTTTATCGTCATCAAATGTTAATGCATGCTTCTCCCTAGACTTTCTAAAAGATTCCTGGAAAGCTTTTCTTATTTCTGGATCTTCTGGTGGATAAAGTTCCCGTTTGGTTTTAACCACCCATTCCTCGAATAGGGAAGGTTGATTGAAATAATAAAACATTATTACTGGGAATGTGACGTACATTGCCATTTTGCCGACTTCTAGTTTCCAACCTCCCATTTCTGAAACAAAAATTAAGTACTTACTTTATTTTTGCAAAACAAATTAGGTAGATATGTATTTGAAATTGGACAGACAATAAAATTATTGATGGAAATCATTAATCATGGAAATTTTCTAAAATGAATTGCGGTGGAAAAAGTTTTCAAGATTGGGTAGGATACACCTGGATACACAATGCTACCAATGCTGGGGCTTGTACCATAAAAATATCAACTGCACCAACAAAGTGATATTTATGTTCATATTGCTCTGAGGAGCATCCATGGCTTGAATCAATGAAGCAACTAGCAAGGGCTTTGATAACTTCTTTGCACCAAAGTTCTGTAGAGTCGCTAGATAAGGTATATTGATGTCTATCAACTTAGCGAGACAACTTCGAAAAATCGATTTTCCATTATGCCAAGAATTTGCCGCTTTTTTGCCGCTAATTAAATGTGGAATTAAAAAATTTGCCGCTCTTTTGGTTTTTTCTTAATTACGTGTTTTGCTAACTTGACGTCAAGATAGCGAGACAACATCACTAAATATGTCAGCACTAAAAAACTAGGTACTTGAAAATTTGCCGTTTTTTTGCCACTAATTAGTTGTAAAAATCAAAAATTTGCCGGTTATTTTTTTTTCATAAAAAATAAAGTTTGAAAAAAAAAACCATTTGTTTCGCTAACTTGACGTCAAGTTAGCGAGACATTATCACCAAAAATGTCGGTAGTGAAAAATTGAGTGAATGGAAATTTGCCGTTTTTTTGCCGCTAATTAGTTGTGAAAACCAAAAATTTGCCGCTTTTTTTTACAAAAAATCAAGTTTGAAACAAAAAAACATGTGTTTCGCTAACTTGACGTCAAGTTAGCGAGACAATATCACTAAAAATGTCGGTAGTGATGAGTTGAGTGAATGGAAATTTGCCGTTTTTTTGCCGCTAATTAGATGTGAAAACTAAAAATATGCCGCTACCTTTCTTTTCATAAGAAAATCGTGTTCGAAAATAAAATAGTGTTTTGCTAATTTAACGTAAAGTTAGCGAGATCACTAAAAATTTCGGTAGTGATAGATTGAGTGAGTGGAAATTTGCCGCTAATTATCTCTTTTTCTACAAGAAAATATCGCGTTTGAAAAAAAAATATCATGTATTTCGCTAACTTGACATCAAGTTAGCAAAACAGTAAACAGTATCAATAAAAATGTCGGTAGAAAATTTTATTCATCTGTCAAAACTGGTATTCGAACCTCAGACATTCGAACCATAAACTGGGCTCTGTGTCATTTGCGCGACAGTCGTTTGCGCGAGGGAGAAAAGCGCGATACTAAACACGCGAGGGACAAAAGCGCGACGGAACAAAAACGCGACTGCATAAAAGCGCGAGAAACAAAGGCACGAGCGAGAAAAGCGCGAGAAACAAAAGCGCGAGGGACAAAAGCGCGACGGAACAAAAACGCGAGGGAAAAAACGCGACGGAACAAAAACGCGACTGGAGTAAAGCACGATTGGACAACAACGCGAGGTATCTAACTATCTACGAGGACTGTAAGCAAAAGAGGGACACATCAAATTGTATCAATAATATTCAGAAAAATGCAGCCTTACTCAAACTAACCCATACTAACCTGTTGCCCTAGTGCGATCTAGTCTTCGTTAAATAGAATTTTATTTGAAAAACAAGGCGCGGTCAAGGGACCCTACGCTATAAATAAATTGACTGTTTTTTTGGATAAAATGCTAACTTATGAGTACTAGATCGCACTAGGCGGACGGGTTATTTTGGGTTAGTTTGAGCAAGTCTGTATTTGCTTTATTATTATTGGTTCAAATTGATGTCGCAATACAGACTTACTCAAACTAACCCAAAATAACCCGTCCACCTAGTACGATCTAGTCCTCGTAAGCATTTTATTTAAAAAAACAAAGTTAATTCACTGATTGATTGCTCAGGGTCTCTTGAGAGCGCAGTGCTTTTTAAATAAAATGCTAACTCACGAGGACGAGATTGCCCTAGACGGACGGGTTAGTTTGAGTAAGTCTACATAATTTTGATTAATATTGGAAGAATTTGATGTTTCCCTCTTTTGCTTAGAGGTCGTCGTTGTAAATGTCGCTCTTTTAATTTGTCACTGTTCTAAATCTCGTTGTTTACATATGTCGCTCTTTTGATATGTTGCTGTTTTTTTTAGATGTCGCCATTTTGAATATCACTGTTCCAAATGTCACTATTTTGATATATCGCTTTAACAATATGTCGCCTTTTTGATGTTGCTATTTTAAATATCGTTCTTTTGAACCGGAGCCACCAAAAATATCTTGTATTTTGGAAAACGAACTCCAGTTCTCGTAGTAAGGCACTTCGCGTTCTTGGCCAATCGGGCTTTATCCAGTCGCGATTTTGTTCTGTCGCGCTTTTGTCCCCTCGCGCTTTTGCTTCTAGCGCTTTTATCCAGTCGCGTTTTTGCGCAGCCGTGCGCTTTTGTCCCTCGCGCTTTTGTTTTTCGCGCTTCTATCCAGTCGCGTTTGTGTCCATCGCGCACTTGTCCTGTCGCGTTTTTGTTCCGTCGTGATTTTGTCCCTCGCGCTTTTCGTATCGCGCAAACGGTTGTCGCGCAAATGACACAGATCCCATGCATAAACTGGCATTTTTTAATTGTTGATTTCAACCAATCAGATTACGATTACGTGATAATTTGTACTAGTGCAGGATTATCGGATTGGATAATTGCTTACTAACGGGTGGCATTTGACATTTTTTCTGATTGCTGACATTTTATACTTACGAGGATATACTAAAAATTTAAATTTTTGATTCATGAAATTCTCTCATAAAATACAACTTGAGCAATGGAAATATATCTATAATTTTTGAGAAATTTGCTCTCATGCATTTTTAACTGGAAAAGGCACTCGTCCCTCGTGCTTTTTTTCAACTAAAAATGCATTGGGGAAAATTTGCCAAAAATTATCGATAATTTCCATTTTATCCCAATTTGATTTTATTTCTAATTTTATTTTATTTTCTGTATAAATGAGCACACGATATTGCGCTTTCTGATTTTTGAAACCTATAAGGCTTCAATAGAGTTTTCCTAAGCTAAAGAAAAAAAAATGTAAAACTATTCTCAAAAAATTTAGAAATAAATAATATTTGCTCCAACAAATGTTGAGTTTCACTAATTAAAATATACTTACAGGCTGCATAAAAATCAAGGGTGGGAGATCATTTACTTTTACTCACCTAATTTTATACTGCCCTTCGTTTTTTGTGTTGATGTCGGTCTAACTTAACGGCAAGCTTGCGAAACACAAGTTTTTCTCAAACACGATTTTTTCATGGAGAAAAAGAGCGGCAAATTTTTGGGTTTTCACATTTAATTAGCGGCAAAAAGCGGCAAATTTCCACAGCTTTTCTCTACCACTCAATTTTTCTCTACCGACATTTTTAATGATACTGTTTTGCTCACTTGATGTCAATTGAACAATGATATTTTTTTTCAAACCCGATATTTTGCACTTACTCAATTTATCACTACCGACATTTTTAGTGATCTCGCTAACTTTACGTTAAATTAGCAAAACATTATTTTATTTTCGAACACGATTTTCTTATGAAAAGAAAGGTAGCGGCAAATTTTTAGTTTCCACATCTAATTACCGGCAGAAAAACAGAAAATTTCCATTCACTCAACTTATCACTACCGACATTTTTAGTGATAATTTGTCTCGCTAACTTGACGTCAAGTTAGCGAAACAAATAATTTTTTTTCAAACTTGATTAATTATGGAAAAAAAAAAACGGCAAATTTTTGGTTTACACAACTAATTAGCGGCAAAAAAACGACAAATTTTCATCTACCTAATTTTTTACTGCTGACATATTTGATGATGTTGTCTCGCTATCTTGACGTCAAGTTAGCAAAACACGTAATTAAGAAAAAACCAAAAGAGCGGCAAAATTTTTAATTCCACATTTAATTAGCGGCAAAAAAGCGGCAAATTCTTGGCATAACGGAAAATCGATTTTCCGAAGTTGTCTCGCTAAGTTGATAGACATGGTATATTGTCATGGGGAACCATGCATAACAACGCCTACATTATAAATATGTAATTCAAAATAAAATTTTGAATTTTGAAAATCAAATATGTATAAAAAGACTATCTTTGTCCAACTCATCTACTTTATAATAAGAAAATTAATAACTTGGAAATATTATATTTTCATTCTATATTAGGTACTTATGTTTCTCGGTATTTTTTATGCATAAAAACCAAGATAAAGATCTCATAGTTTCACTTATTTATTTTACTAGATTACTACACCATTTCCAAATCCAAGCGGCAGTAAATGACATTTAATAACCTAAATGGACCTTTCTCATTTTACCTGTGCTGCACGCGCATCTTGTGGGTGACAGATAATTAAATCGTCAATTTACTGAACACGGTCTGACCCTGACGTATTTAAGCTAACCTCAATAATCAATCAGTATCAATCAATATTGCTGAAAATTAATACAAAAACTGTTTATGATACAATGGTTCAAATGAGTTGAATGAGTTCTTGTCAGAATTAGGCGAAAAAGAAGTGAAACCTTTCTTTTCACAAGTTCCCAGGCAATCAAATTGTAAGAAAACAATAGTTATGTGCTCTCAACAGTCTCAACCCGAATGAAGACGATTTAAGTTGGGACAGAGATTTGAGGGTTCGTAAAATAACGATTTTTATATCAAATACAATAATAATGTACAATTAAAGGTTTGCTGCAAACATTTTTGCTGCGGTGGGTTTTCTTTCTAATTAATGTTAATACTTATTTTGTCATATTTACGTTTAAAAATAAACAAAAACAGAAACATAACCGAAATTGCACAATTTGACAAGTGGAACCAATCAAAGTCATTCCACACAGGTATGGCGCGTCATTATATGTGTCTTTTTCTTTATTGCAGAAATCTTAATAAACTATCCTTGTTGTTCATTGCATGAGAAAGGTCCATTGTTAACAAACACCAGCCTTCCTATTCGTTGAAGCGCCCTACCTGGACCAGGGGTGCGATTTTCGAAACATTTCGTACACGAAATTTGACTGACAGCAATGTAAATTAAATGGGGAGCAGTCAAATTTCGTGTACGAAATGTACTCGAATGGTTTCGAAAATCGCACCCCAGTGCGCATGCACGGAGGACATTTGATAGGTTGTAATGAAAATTACCAGTTTGTCATTTACTGCCGCTTGGATTTGGAAATGGTGTAGAAATACCCAATACAAAGAGTGAGCTATTAGTAAGTAGGTCTGTTTCGAGGTCTGTTTCTGCAGAAATCACGAACCAGTCAGAGTGAATTTCATTGGTTGAAACTAGTTTTCTGACTGTTTTCAACTCCAAAAGCCTATAACTGATGTAATAAAGAGTACCATAAGATTTAAACACTATTCAAAATAAGCAAAACTATATCTTTGGGAGAATAAAATAACATTTCTTGAGCTGTTGTGGTGAGGGTGACCCGTGATGACGATGTCATATTTTTTTTTTGCTTGCTATTTTTGCTTTGCATTGGAAGCATAGTTAGTTTAGGTTTTAAGTGTTTATTTTATTTTTTTCCTGCAGAAGAAACAAGGAAGATAACCTGATGTTGAATGAAGTATGCTTTTTTACCATATTTTACAACAAACAATATCTACTTAAATTAAATTAAACTTAGCCCATACAGGTGTTAAGTCATCTAGGTGCTTCATTTAATTAAAAGTGTAAAAAGAGTTTTAGTAAAAATATTCTGATTTGACTCCTTATTTGGAAATACCTCGGGAAATACATTTTAATTTGAATTTGTTATTTACATATTATATTTCAAGGCAATTAACTTACTTTCTGTTTGTTTTATTCTATATTTTCCTTCAAGAAAATTGTTTTGGAGTTTATTTGTTTATTAAAATTTAAAGTTGAAATATTTATTTTTGTTATTGCTGCTGGCTGTCGCTCAATGTCGTTTACTTCAAAATTTGATGGTTATGTTTTGTGAGTGTGACGTCATTAGTCGTATTCCTTTCACACCTAGGAAGAACTCCGGAACAGCTCCGGTGCTTTACGCACGTATTCCTTTCGAAAAGTGTTTGTTGCATTTCATCTTGAAGCGCCCAAGCCCGAATTAGGGCGAGTATTATAAAACTGCTTTGACAGTTAACTTAAAGTTAACTTTTTGAATTACATGTAATTTCAAAAATTAACTTTAAGTTAACTCTCAAAGTAGTTTTATAATACCCGACCTTAAACCATTAAAATGCACGAAAGCCAGCGCATCTGTTCCTTTCAAATTAGGGTCGACTAACACCGGAGCGAGTAGCTCTAGTGTTTTAGACACTTGAAAGGAATACAATTGTTAAGAAAAGAAACAAATCTAGAGCAGTTCGGCTTTCCAATTCTTCAATAGAGTTGAAGTGGAGTCAGAATAGTCAGATCTGTTTCTTGTCAAATGATCAATACCATGCGTTCGGTATTTTGAAGAGCGATTATAATCCAAACGAGAGCACACTATTTTAAATAAATAGCTGAACTCCGAACTATCATCAAATTTTTTGATGAATCCAATTTTAGGAAGCAAGAAAGAGCGCTCCCTGCGAGATTTGAGACCATGTTATGAGTTCTTTTACTTCTTATGCTCAAGTCGAGCACCGAATCCGTTCTGGATCCGGATCGCTTTTTGATCAATCGGGTGCAGTTTTGCGGCAAAAGTCGAAAACGCTAGTAGTTATTTTCCTCTCAAGCCGAACGTGCACCTAGTTACACTCAAGAGTATTAGTGGTATTACAAAATACACAGGATAGCCTATCCTCCTGCCCGTGTAATTGAAATCTCAAGCTTTCCTACCACGGTAAAGTACCAGTGATGACGTACACAGCGTGTCGTTAGGGTTCTTGGTCTTGACGTGGGATTTTTGCAAGGATGGATGTTTGCACCCACAGAACATATCAGTCACCTCTAGAAAAGTATCTGCAATGTTACATCGAGTAAAATAATTGATCTGATTTTAAAATTTATTTAAAATGATGGGAAAATTTCCTTGACAAAGTTAAACAGACGCAAAAGCATCATATTATTCATTATTGTGGAGGGATTGAAGTTAATTTATAGTACACGAAGGACCAAAGACAAAAGTGAAAGAAAAAAAAATTGGAAACCCGGAACGTTGTAAAGTCACAGTCATATCATTCGTGTATTAATTTTTCACTCTAATCACTCCTAGATCACATGACAAAAATCTGTTATTACTCCACTCCAACTCCGTGCTGAATAGCCGATAGAACAATCACAGAAAACCACAAAAAACGAAAGGAAAAGGACTACAACAGCAAATTAGTGATTTCTAATCACAACCTGGCAAAAAATAAACAAGATATGAAGAAAGAAAATGTTTTTGATTTGGTTTTGATGCACTACATGCGGGATGTTACGCCAAAATTGGCGTAGAATTGACGTTCATGCCGATTGCGCTAATTACGCTCGTGGGGATTCGCCCTCAGGGCGAATTCTCATGAGCGTAAGTTGACATTTCTGGCGTAATCACATAATATTAGGGCTGTTCGCACAGCAATCACAAACCAGTCAGAGCGAACTTCATTGGTTGAAAACAATCAGAAACAGTCAGAAAACTAGTTTCAACCAATGAAATTCGCTCTGACTGGTTTGTGATTTCTCTGCAAACAGACCTAATAATAATATGGTGTAATTTGATTGGTAAAATATCCAACATGGCGAATATTTTACCAATAAAACCCAACCATTTCATCACGTGGTTACGTCAGAAATGTTAATTTACGCTCATGAGAATTCGCCCTCACAGTCGCGATTCTCCCACTTGAGAATTTTGAGATATCGTCGGCATCATATGAAAATTGCCTAAGTCCAAAAAGGTAAATTTTACAGGAGGCGCAAAAAACCTTTGTGAAGAAAAACTACATGATACAAATCGTAACAAATCACCGGCAAAAATGCACAGAAAAGATTGGACTTACGCAAGTTTCACTCTGTCTTATGACGACGACGGACTTGTGCAAATTTCTTTTCATGGTTGTGTGGCTCTAACAATTTAGGGAGTGAACTCTGCGCCTACCGGTAGGTGCCGTTTGTTTCATTGATTGTGTGCCTACCGTTTATCTATAACGCTAAAACATTATGGTAGGTCCCCAATTGCCATATGATATAACGCCTATCGGTAGGTACTTTTTGTAAAAAGAATCCTGAGCCTACCGGTAGGTTCACATTAATTTAAGAATCCGTCGCCTACCTTACCTACTCTCTATTTACCTATCTAACCTAACTATGCCTGCATTTACAAGAAGGTGACATATTTGAAAAAGATTTTCCACGTTTTTGGTGGATTTATGCTTCCGAGCATCTTCTCTTTGAAGTTTGGCGAGCGGAGCGAGCAATCAGAAACTCAAAAATGATTAAAATTTCAAGGTGTTAAAGGTTTTTCACTTTTTTGATGGAAGGCTTCACGTTTTTGGTGGATTTGCGCTCCCAAGGATCCTCTCTTTGAGGTTTGGCGAGAGTAGTGAGCAATCGAAGACTCAAAAACAAATTCAAGGTGTGTGCAGAAGGATTTTTAATAGGTTGCCGTCTAGCGAATGAAGCAGATTCCAAACATCAACAAGTTCAAAGCCCAAATTGGAAAAATGTTAAGATACTAATGAAGGCTTATGTGGACGAATTTCTTAATGACGATAAGTATGAAAACATTCACTTTCCCGCCAACATTTGCTTGCTTGTCAATGTCAACGTGTATTGAGTGTTTAGCGATCCCCTCGTTTTTATTCGAATCGGTGACTTCACCGATGAGTTAGCTATCTTTGTTAAGTGAATGGAAAATGAGAATGACCGACATAGAATTGTGAATCCATCGCAGGGTTTGAAATTGGAAAGAATATGTGGGAAAAGTCACTGCTTCATTCGCATAGGGTTTCCATACGTCCGGATTTACCCGGACATGTTTGGGTTTTTAGGGTGTCCGGGGAAGTCCGGCCGGAATTCTGAACAATGTCCGGAAAACTCGGAGATCGTGAAAACAACCTAACTTTGTTAATAAATATTTTAATCGTTACGGTTACGATACAAATCTCTACCAATATCCACAGAAGTATTTTCGAACGTATCCCATTTTTATACTCCGGTGTCACTCCAACGTCAAATTTTCGTAGAGTTCGAAGAATCGTCTTTCTTTGCTATATTGATTATGACATAGAGTGAGATGGAAATATATTGACTCATGGTTGATTTTAATCATCGGGAATTCGAGCGATAAGTACTGATTCCCCAGGGTTACGATTTTCGAAACCATTCGAGTACATTTCGTATACGAAATTTGATATGATTTCGAATGCTCCCCATTTGATTTACATTGCTGTCAGTCAAATTTCGTATGCGAAATGTATACGAATGGTTTCGAAAATCGCACCCACCACAGGTCCGTTTAAATTATGATTTGTGTGGGACCTGCGCTGTTGCACGCAACGCAACGTTATAATATTAAATATTAATGATAAAATTGAGTATATTTTAATGATGCCAAAACGGAAGTGTGTAGTAACGGAAGAAAAGCGTTCCGTTCCATTAAAAAAGGAAAAGCTAATTTCGATGTCTTAAAATCTGTTTTTTTTGTTTTTAAAGATGAAAGTCAAAATGACATTATGTTGGCAATACAATGTAAAAGTGTCGAGGTTTCAAATTTTTTATGTATATAAGGCTTGTGTTGCCAACTCGGTTGCCAATATAGTTATTAAATTTTTGACTTGGGGAATTTTCTTTAAAAAAAAAAACAGATTTTATGTATCGTATGCAATACAAATATGATTTGAGTGTTGCTCATAAAGGCAAAAAAGACATAATTATTTCATCCTTTATAAAAATTTTGAATTTTTCAGCGAAGTCCGGATTTTGTCCGGATTTCTTATCTCCTTCGTCCTGAATTCCGAAAAACCTTTATGGAAACCCTACATTCGCAGAACTTAGACATGGAGACGGTGGTGGATTATTTTGAAAGCAAACAGCTTCCGCAAACTAAACTTAAACGTGGATTATTTCGTATATTTGATGGGCCGTGGATTTCCCTTTCTTTTGCGAGTATCCTTTGCCGGTGAATAGCAATTATTTTTATGAAAAGGCACATTACACACACACACACAAAAAAAAACCTTGAAAAAATCGGGGAAACAATAGTTTCTTGCAAAAGTCTTGTCTACGAACCACTGTCAACGGCTGTTAACCATTGTTTTCATACTCTTTTGGCGTCTGACAGTTTGATGCCAGAGAGAGAGGCTTTTAAATTGAAAAGGTCAATTTTCATATGATGCCGACGATATTTTTTATAGGGGATATGTTCTGTGTTTGCACCACAGGCTATGATTGCTATATGATTCCGGCATCTGTTCGCACAGAAATCACAAACCAGTCAGAGCGGATTTCATTGCTTGAAAAAAGTCAGAAAACTAGTTTCAACAAATGAACTTCAATCTGACTGGTGTGCGATATGGAACACGGTTTCTGAAAAATTCGGTCTTAACTGTCAGAACAGTCAGAACCGAATCTACCGATCAAAAAGCTCTGGTTGTTTCGGTTTGGCTGAGGAAAAATCTGAGGAAAAAACCGGAAACGCAAATCGCGTGCATCAAAAACATGACGCTTAAAGTAGAGTAGGGTGCATTCCAGTGACACGACAGTTGTTTGGAGCCCCCCCCTCAGAGTGTGAAGCTACGGATGTGGAGCACCTTTAAAATCGTCACTGGAAAGCGGCTCGGGTTCTCCATCTCCATCCGTCTATCCAGTAAAGCTACATCCTCAATCAATCTGGTAGCGAAGTGGCACTTCGGCATGCGTGCTGGAAAATTAATACCCATCCTCAATGCTGTCAATTTATGTAATGGTAGGTGGGTTCGGCTGGCTCACTCCGTGCACTCGGAGTGACTCCATTCGCACTCCAGCCGTTCGGGTTAAGGTTCGGGTATTGCTTTTT